GCATCCCATCGCCACTATTTTATTTTAAAGTTTCTCTTCTGTGGTTTGGAAACCACGTTTCTATTTTAATTCCGCATCCTCTTTTAATGTTCCTATTGTATCCTTTTGAACTATGTTTCTGCTTTTAACATTCGTATCCTCCTGCGTGCTTTTATTCTAACCTTAATAAAAAGTTAGAATAAACTACAATAAATAATAAAATAGCCTTCATAATAATTTCATTACAATTTTTAAATAATTATAATGTTATTACAGCCGTAAGAAAAACCTTAATATTTTTATTTTAAGGTTGTGCATTCGATGGCACGCTGCTTTGAGCCTTTGAGCCACGAATCGATGCGCCTAAATTTTTTTTAAAAAGACAACATATTTGCAAAATATGCTGCAAAATATCCATCCCTTTCCCCGCACCTAGAAATCTAGCCTCTCAGGGAGAAAGCCTCCGCTCTTTTTTTCCTTGCAGGCTCAACATATATGGATATATATATATTGGGAGACTAAGGAGACTAAGATAGATCTATTTCGGACTTATTCGGTCCTCATCAGTTAGTCACACCTCATCCCATGTATCCTCCCTGTAAAGGTACAGTATTTGTTTTCTTTCCTTTTCGTAGGCTTTATGTGTATTTCTCTTTAGCCAGGTTCTTCCTACGTAAACCAAGATTTTTATGCAGCCCTAGTTCAGTGAAATCACAATCCACTCGTTTTTAGGCTTTTCTTCTGGCAGCCAGCAAACACTCTGCTGCCCATTGGGAGACTAAGGAGACTAAGATAGATCTATTTCGGACTTATTCGTCCTCTCAGTTAGTCACACCCTCATCCCATGTATCCTCCCTGTAAAGGTACAATATTTGTTTTTCTTTCTTTTTCGTAGGCTTTATGTGTATTTCTCTTTAGCCAGGTCCTTCCTACGTAAACCAAGATTTTTATGCAGCCCTAATTCAGTGAAATCACAATCCACTCGTTTCTAGGCTTTTTTCACGCAGTCAGCAAGCACCCTGCTGCCCAACTGTATTATATACAGTTTCAAAACCCGAACCTTATCAAGGAAGTCGATTTTGCAAGGAAAAAGACGAGAGCGGAAGCCGTCTTTCCCTGAGAGGCTAGATTTCTCGGTGCGGGGAAAGGACCGATATTGTGCAAGGGGAGGAAATTGTTTGCGGAGGTTTATTTGTATTTTTACCTGTCAACCCCTCCCTAGAGAGGTAGCGGGAGTGGCCGGCTAGCTCTTCCCACAGTCCTTCTGGTGTGGGTTTAACCAGGCCTCAAATTGGCTGCCAACTATCTTCTCCCACGCTGAGCACAGCAAAAACAAGCTGGAATGTGCAGCTCTCCCAGGAACACATCAACGCACAAACACATACCTTCCTTCCTTCCTCCAATCAACCACCAAGGTGGTTGCTTTCTGAAGTTTGTTTTTTTTTTTAAATTAAAATAAAGGAGGGGAATAAGAAAAAATTAAAAATTTGTATAGCCCCAGATCAAATTTCCCACCCAGAGTAATCAAATCATCCTCGACTGGACAACGATTTGTTTAGTGACCGAAGTGACAACTGCACTGGGAAAAAAAAAGCGACTTACAACCCAACATCCCGTGATCAGACATTCAGTTGCTTTTGGCCACTCGTACTTACGACGGTTCCCACGTTTTGTGTGACCTTCTGAAAAAAAATCAGTCAGGGGAAGCCACTTAACAACCGTGGGACTGATTTTGCCACGGCGGCAATTTGTTTAACAACCGTGGCAAGAAAGGTCGTAGAGCGGGGCGAAATGCACTTAAGGACGGTCTCGCTTAGCAACATAAACCTTGGACTCAAAATTGTGGTCATAAAGCGAGGACTACTTGGTAGGAAAACAGCTGGGCCTGCAGATGTTGGGTTTAGCCTCGGGTGAACCCAAAAATCTTTGATGATTTATATATAATATGAATCTCTCTCGCACTGTCTCTTTCTCTCCCCCCCGCCTCAATTTCAAAGGTTTTGCTGAGATTAGGAGGAAAAAATGCAGTTTTTTCCCCCCAAAACACGCCCCTCTTCAATTCCCTTTACAGATAATAAATGGCAGAGAAAGAATTGTGGAAAAAGAAAAACAATGTGGTGAATTTTCGTTTTTCTGCACTTTTGCTAAGTTTTAAACTTTTTCTTTGAAAGTAAACCTGGGTTTGTTCAGAGGCAAGACCCCGGATTATTATTATTTCTTTAAAAATCACTTAAGCACAGGAGAAAAAAAAAAAGCTGGTTAAATGCAGCATCTGTAGCCAGCTTCAGGAAATTATCGTGGTTTGTTTGAAAAAATGCAACCCACTGGCTTCAAAAGGTGTCCGGGAACACCCTTCTCCATGAAAAGGAGGGACGCTAAACGGAAATCATCGCCGGGAAAAACAAGATGGGGAAAAGAAAATGGGTATCCAAAGGAAGGAGAAATAAGAAGAAGAAAAGAAGAATGAAAGAAGAAGAAAAAAGAGAATAAAAGAACCAGCCAATTGGTTAGTAAGAAGAAACAAGAGACAACCATGGAAATAATCACCAGAAAAACAAGATGGAAAAAGAAACAGGTATCCAAAGGAAGGAGAAATAAGAAGAAGAAAAGAAGAATGAAATAAGAAGAAGAAAAGAAGAAAAGAACAAAAGAAGAATGAAAGAAGAAAAGAACCAGCCAACTGGTTAGTAAGAAGAAACAGGAGACAACCACAGGAATAATCACCAGAAAAACAAGATGGAAAAAGAAACAGGTATCCAAAGGAAGGAGAAATAAGAAGAAGAAAAGAAAAGAAAAGAAGAATGAAGGAAGAAGAAAAAGAGAATAAAAGTACCAGCCAATTGGTTAGTAAGAAGAAACAAGAGACAACCATGGAAATAATCACCAGAAAAACAAGATGGAAAAAGAAACAGGTATCCAAAGGAAGGAGAAATAAGAAGAAGAAAAGAAGAATGAAGAAAAGAAGAACGAAAGAAGAAGAAAAGAACAAAAAGAAGAATAAAAGAAGAATAAAAGAACCAGCCAACTGGTTAGTAAGAAGAAACAGGAGACAACCACAGAAATAATCACCAAAAAAACAAGATGGGGAAAAGAAACAGGTATCCACAGGAAGGCGAAATAAGAAGAAAAGAAAAAGAAAAGAAGAAGAAAAGAAGAATGAAAGAATAATAAAAGAAACAGCCAAACTGGTTACTAAGAAGAAAAAGGAGGCAACCATCATTGTCGTAGGAGCTAGACTCAACTATTGGGGAAGAAAAATGCATATTTTGGAAAAGAGAAGTGAGGGGTGTGTGTGGTGCAAACAGCAACCTGCTTATCGGCCCCCTCCCCAAAATTATAAAGCTGTGTATCTCAGCCCTCCCACCCCCTAAACCGGGCCTTGCCCAGCCCCATCGCTCTATTGGAACAAAAATGGCAGAGGTGGGGAGGTTTGCCCCCTTTTGGAGCAGCAGACGCAAGGGGGGGGAGGGGGGAGGGGGAAAAAATAAGTTAGCCCCTTCCCCACTAAAAGGGGAGATCAAAGGGAAAGGCGAGCTTCCAAATGGGAGGGAAGGGGAGGGGGAGCCGCGGGCACCTGGGCGGCCTTCAAACAAAGAAGATGCTGAGCGCGCAACATGGAAGCCGGGCACAGCCGAAGCCCCCCGGCCCACATCTCCTCCCCGCGACCCCCACCCCCGCGCGCCCCGCCCGCCGCTTTAACTCCTTCTTGCCCCGCTAACAAAGTTTGGCAAACTTTCTTTTTTTAAAGGAGAGACGCGGGTTGGGGTGGGGGGGGGAAGGGAGGGGGGGTGTTTGGAAAGAGATGATGGGGGGTGGGAGGGTTGAGTTGGGAAAGCCCCCCCCGTTTTTTGGGAAGGGGGAGGGGGAGGGGGAAAGAGAATTTTTGGTTTTTTTTTTCTTTCTTTCTTTCTTGCGCTTTCTTCCTGCCCTCGTACAAAGGGCGCCCGTCCTCCTGTGCGCGAGGGGTTTTTTTGGAGAGGAGGGGGGGGTCTTAGCAATATGGGGAGGGGAGGTGAGGAAGAGGCCTCTCTGGGGTGCAAGCCCCTGCAAAGGTCTGAGAGGGAAAACGGGGGGGGGGGGTTTCACACACACCCGGGAAGGAAAGGAAAGGAAGGAAGGAAGGATGGATGGATGGATGGATGGATTAGAGGGGGAGTGGAAGGAAGGATTAGGGGGGAGAGGGAAGGAAGGAAGGAAGGAAGGAAGGAAGGAAGGAAGGAAGGAAGGAAGGAAGGAAGGAAGGAAGGAAGGAAGGAATAGAGGGGGAGCGAAGGAAGGATTGGGGGAGAAGGAAGGAAGAAGGGAAAGAAGGAAGGATTAGAGAGGGAGAGGGAAGGAAGGATTGGAGGAGAAGGAAGGAAGGAAAGAAGGAAAGATTAGAGGGGGGAGCAAAGGAAGGATTGGGGGAAGAGGGAAGGAAGGAAGGAAAGAAGGAAGGATTGGGGGAGAGGGAAGGAAAGAAGGAAGGAAGGATTAGAGGGGGAAGCGAAGGAAGGATTGGGGAAGAGGGAAGGAAGGAAGGAAAGAAGGAAGGAAGGATTGGGGAGAGGGGAGGAAGGAAAGAAGGAAGGAAAAAAAGAAGGAAGGATTAGAGGGGGAGTGAAGGAAGGATTGGGGGAGAGGGAAGGAAGGATTAGAGGGGGAGAGGGAAGGAAGGAGAGAAGGAAGGAAGGAAAGAAGGAAGGATTAGAGGGGGGAGCAAAAGAAGGATTGGGGGCAAGAGGGAAGGAAGGAAAGAAGGAAGGATTGGGGGAGAGGGGAAGGAAGGAAAGAAGGAAGGAAAGAAAGAAGGAAGGATTAGAGGGGGGAGCGAAGGAAGGATTGGGGGAGAGGGAAGGAAGGAGAGAAGGAAGGAAGGAAAGAAGGAAGGATTAGAGGGGGGAGCGAAGGAAGGATTGGGGGGGAGAGGAAAGAAAGGAAGGAAGTGCGTTGACCACTCCAGAGCCCTGGGAGTGGAGGATGGGCGAAGGAACCCTGGCGCCCCCCCTCCCCATTTCTCTCCCCCCCTTCCTTTTCTCTACCTGGGGTTGCTGGCGTTCCAGTAGACGCTGTGGCGGAGGCCTCTCACCTGCCGGGCCAGGAGGGCGCCCCCCAAGAGGAAGAGCCCCCAACAAGGCAGCAGCGCCTCAATGGGGCGCATCGCTCCGTCGGGAGGGCAAAGTGGGGGGGGGGGGTGCAGCGTTGGCGGCGGCCGGAGGAGTCGCGGCGGGAGGGGAGGGGAAACCAAAAAAAAAAAAAAAAAAAAGCCCCGCCCCGCCCGGTCTCCTCCCCCACCTCGCTCCCAACTTTTCCCACCAATCAGGAGCCGCGCTGGAGCCCCAAAAAGAAAAACAAAAGTTTTGAGCCAAACTTCGAAGCGAGGATGGAGGCGGGCAGGGGGGGTTCATCCTTGGGGGGGCGCCGCCTCCATTCATTCCGAGGGGAGGGGAGGGGGAGGGGGAGAGGGGAGGGGCCAGTGGGAGGAGGAGGGCGTGGCCAACATTCCCTCCTGCTTCTGCTCCTCCTTCAATCAATCAGAATAGAGAGGGGACCTTCGGAGGGCATCTAGTCCGACCCCCTGGCTCAAAAAGACAGACTATCAGAGTGGGACCTTTGGAGGTCATCTACTCCAGCCCCTGGCTCAAAAAGGCAGAATATCAGAGTAGGACCTTTGGAGGGCATCTAGTCCGACCCCCTGGCTCAAAAAAGCTGAATATCAGAGCGGGACCCTTGGAGGGCATCTAGTCCGACCCCCTGGCTCAAAAAGGCAGAATATCAGAGCGGTACCTTCGGAGGGCATCTAGTCCAACCCCCTGCTCAAAAAGGCAGAATATCAGAGTGGGACCTTTGGAGGGCATCTAGTCCGACCCCCCGGCTCAAAAAGGCAGAATTTCAGAGCGGGATCTTTGGAGGGCATCTAGTCCGACCCCCTGGCTCAAAAAAGCTGAATATCAGAGCGGGACCCTTGGAGGGCATCTAGTCCGACCCCCTGGCTCAAAAAGGCAGAATTTCAGAGCGGGACCTTTGGAGGGCATCTAGTCCGACCCCTGGCTCAAATGACGGGATAACAGTAGTCTTTACGACAAGGCAGACGACAAATAAAATGTAACAGATAAATAAATGTTTATTTATACAGTTTATCTACGTAGATAAAGTGCCACCTGCTTCGGAGCTGGGCCAGGTGTCACCTGCAAGGCGAGGAGTTGTCTAGCTGGATCCGCCAGAACCTCCAACTCCAAAGGCAGTCTATCTGGGTTGAAACGGAGGTGTCGTCAACGCCTTGCGATATTATCTGTTGTTGACAAAACGTTCGTTTGGCGACCCTTAGAAGCTCACGACGGCGCTGAAAAAGGTTGTAAAAGCAAGGCAGTTGTTAAACGAATCACAACCAATTTTAGCACTTTTTTGGGGGGGCCACACTTGTGGAACAAATCCGTCGTTAAGTGAATCCGGCTTCCCCCCCCCCCGCCGTTGGTTTTGCCAGCTGGGAAGGTTGCAGTGTGTGACCTCAAAATGCAACTGTTGCCCAGCACCCGAATTTTGATCCCGTGATTGTGGGGGAATGTTGTGACGGTTGTAAGTGCGAGAACCGGCCACAAATAGCTTCTTTTCAGCGCCATTGTTAACTTCCATCACTAAATGAACGGTCGCAAATCAAGGACTACCTGGAAATTTCTGATTAGACCTTCCCAACATCCCGTTCACCATTTTCACCCTCACGGTGCCTCAGTTCCCCTGTACAGGTAAGTCCTGGACCTACGACCGTTCCACTTAGTGACCGTTCAAAGTTACGATGGCACTGAAAAAAATGGACACTTGGGACCGTTTTCCACACTTAATGACCGTCGCAGCCACGTGATCAAAATTCGGACGCTCAGCAATCTGACTAGTACTTATGACGGTTGCCATGGTGTCCCTCCCAGGGTCACACAATCCCCCTTTTTCCGACCTTCCATCCAGCTGAGTCAAGAGGGAAGCTGGATTTGCTGAACAACGGTGCGACTGACTTAACGACTGCAATGATTCGCTTAACGACCACGGCAAGGAAGGTTGTAAAATGGGGCAAATTTCAGCTGCCAAAATTTCCTTCTGCCTTTTCTTTCACTTCATTTTGGATCATGGCTGCTCTCCCGTTTTCCACGCATTTAATAAATCAAATTAAATTTAATTTAAAAGGTAAGGTTTGGGAGAGAAGAAGAAAGTGGACTGAGGCGCCATCTAGTGGACAAATGACGCAGAGAGTGGGAAGGGGGAAAAAAAAGAGAATACAGGCAGTCCTCGACTTACGGCCACAACGAAGCCCCGAAATTTATGTTGCTAAGCGAGACATTTGTCATAAGTGAGGTTTGCCCCCATGTTACGACTTTTCTCGCCCCGTTTGTTTTACGTGAATCGCTTTCCGTTATTAAATCAGGTCATTAAGCGAATCTGGCTTCCCTGTGGACTGGGCTTGTCAGAAGGTCACCAAAAGGGCCATCACAAGTCCGTCCTAAGTACGAGTCAGTTGCCAAGCGTCTGAATTTGGATCACAGGGATGCTGCAAACGGTCATTAAGTGTGAAAAATGGCCGTTAAGTCACTTTTTTCCAGGCGCGCGGTCACTTCGAACGGTCACTAAACGAACAGTTATAAGTTGAGCACTGTCGGACAACTCTTTCTTGCTCCAAAAACCAGAGAATTTGCCCCAAAAATCAAGGGAGTCCGTCTTTTTTTTATTAATTAAAAAAAAAATGGCGTCCCATCCAATTGGGTGGATCGATTCCAGTGACGATGAATCCACTTCCGTTGGAGAATAGCTGTCCTCTTGCACACGTGCAGGTGTGTAATTCCCATTGCACATGTCCACATCTGCATCTCCAGGGGGCGCCACGGAGAGTTCGCCTTGCTAGTGCAAATATTTTTCCCAGAATTCCCCCGGAGAGGGATTTAAAGCAGGAGACGGTCAAAATGGCCTCCCTTTAGCCACGTTTAGGACTTCCGGCTGCTGGTCTCCAAATGTCTCCAGGGACCTCATATCCGTCCCGGACGAGCCCCCATCGCTGCCCCGAGCTTACGACGGATGGAGAGGGGGGGGCGTTCTGAAAAATCTACAGCCAAGCGAGCGACGGGGAAGATGGCAGACGGTCCTTCCCGCGAGAAGTGCCTTGTGCAAGGTTGATATGAGCTCTCGGTGCGAGCGAGCCAAGTTATATTTTGTGAGGGTGTCTCGAAGAGCCGGCCAGCGTGGGAGGGGGTGGAGGAGCTGGTCTGGAAGAAAAGCCGAGAAAGAAAAGAGAGGGAGTTTTTGATTTACGACCCCAATTTCTGTTGCTAAGCGAGACGTTTAGGAAGGGAATTGCGCTCCGTTGTACGACCTTCCTTGCCACGGTTGTTAAACGAATCCCTGCGACTGGGAAGCTAGTCGCACGGTCGTTAAACGAATCTGGCTTGCCAGAAGGTCGCCAAAGGGGGTGGGGGAAAATCACCTGACCCTGGGACAGTGCAACCGTCATAAATACGAGTCAGTGACCGAGTGTCTGAATTTTGATCACCGGAAGGCTGCAAACGGCGTTAAGTGTGAAAATCGGTCATAAGTCACCTTTCAGTGTCATTGTAACTTTGGTCACTAAACGAGCTGTGGTCACATGACTGCGTTTTTGGCATCTGACCCCATTTACGACGATCATATCACCGCAACGTTTTGCAGGAAAGCAATATTTACTTTGGTTTTTCTGCAAAAAAAAAACCCCGCCCCAAAACGCCTCTTTTCCAACCTTTAGACTCACCTGGATGGCAACATCTGGATCTCGGGGTCACAGCTGGGCATGGCATGGGGCGGATCCAGAGGCAGCGGCTTCTGGGGAGGGGGAGGCTTGGTGGGGCCCGGGGACTAGGAGGAAAAAGAGCCGAAATTGCATTGACAGAAGGCAGTCAATCAAAGCAGGGCCCACCCCCTCAAATAGTTCCTCCAGGCAAATGAGTCTGGGGGAGAGAGTTTCTCAATCTTCGTGATTCAAAGACAGGTGGACTTCAACTCCCAGAATCCCCCAACCAGGTTTTGCTTCGTAAATTGGAGGCCATCTTAGAAGGGTGGGCAGACGGATAGGGTGCTGTGCCTTGCATGTAGAAGGACGTTGAATTCTGGGATTTGAAGTCCACCTATCTTAGACCATGTGGCTGGGGGATTCTGGGAGTTGGTCCACCTTCTTAAAGCATGCTGGCTGGGGAATTCTGGGAATTGAAGTCCATCTATTTAGACCATGTGGCTGGGGGATTCTGGGAGTTGAAGTCCACCTATCTTAAAACATGGCTGGGGAATTCTGGGAGTTGAAGTCCATCTATCTTAAAGAAGGCTGGCTGGGAATTCTGGGAATTGAAGTCCACCTATCTTAAAAACATGGTGGGGAATTCTGGGAGTTGAAGTCCACCTATCTTAGACCATGTGGCTGGGGGATTCTGGGAGTTGGTCCACCTATCTTAAAGCATGCTGGCTGGGGAATTCTGGGAATTGAAGTCCATCTATTTTAGCATGTGGCTGGGGATTCTGGGAGTTGAAGTCCACCTATCTTAAAACATGGCTGGGGAATTCTGGGAGTTGAAGTCCATCTATCTTAAAGAAGGCTGCCTAGGGAATTCTGGGAATTGAAGTCCACCTATCTTAAAACATGGCTGGGGAATTCTGGGAGTTGAAGTCCACCTATCTTAGACCATGTGGCTGGGGGATTCTGGGAGTTGGTCCACCTATCTTAAAGCATGCTGGCTGGGGAATTCTGGGAATTGAAGTCCACCTATCTTAGACCATGTGGCTGGGGGATTCTGGGAGTTGAAGTCCACCTATCTTAAAGCATGCTGGCTGGGGAATTCTGGGAATTGAAGTCCATCTATTTTAGACATGTGGCTGGGGAATTTGGGAGTTGAAGTCCACCTATCTTAAAACATGGTGGGGAATTCTGGGAGTTGAAGTCCATCTATCTTAAAGAAGGCTGGCTAGGGAATTCTGGGAATTGAAGTCCACCTATCTTAAAACATGGCTGGGGAATTCTGGGAGTTGAAGTCACCTATCTTAAAACATGTGGCTGGGGAATTCTGGGAGTTGAAGTCCATCTATCTTAAAGAAGGCTGGCTAGGGAATTCTGGGAATTGAAGTCCACCTATCTTAAAACGTGGCTGGGGAATTCTGGGAGTTGAAGCCCACCTATCTTAAAACGTGGCTGGGGAATTGGGAATTGAAGTCCACCTATCTTAAGCCATGCTAGCTGGGGAATTCTGGGATTTGAAGTCCACCTATTTTAAAACATGTGGCTGGGGGATTCTGGGAATTGAAGTCCACCTATCTTAAAACGTGGCTGGGAATTCTGGGAGTTGAAGCCCACCTATCTTAAAACGTGGCTGGGGAATTCTGGGAATTGAAGTCCACCTATCTTAAGCCATGCTAGCTGGGGAATTCTGGGAATTGAAGTCCACCTATCTTAAAGTGGCTGGGGAATTCTGGGAGTTGAAGCCCACCTATCTTAAAACGTGGCTGGGGAATTCTGGGAATTGAAGTCCACCTATCTTAAGCCATGCTAGCTGGGGAATTCTGGGATTTGAAGTCCACCTATTTTAAAACATGTGGCTGGGGGATTCTGGGAGTTGAAGTCCACCTATCTTAAAACGTGGCTGGGGGATTCTGGGAGTCGAATTCCACCCATCTTAAAGCTGCCAAAATTGTGAAAGTCTATTCTGGTTGTTCTCCTCACGTTTCCATTTGCAAATGGAGTCCCTTTCCCCCCCGCCCTCAGGTGAGTTCACCTCCACACGGTGAAAGGCCGAAACCATTACCTGGATTTTGGGAATAGGGTCAGGAGGCAACGGGCGTATAGGAGGGCCGGGTCGTTCCCCAGCGGAATCCTGGGCAGAAAAAGTTCAGATAGCAAAGAACAACATGCAAAATTGAAGAGGGGTTACTGTTTTCCAGAAAAGAGATAAGAAATGGTAATTTATTAAGAAGAAACATCAGCTATCTTAAGGGGGGGGAAAAACACGCAACGGATTTGTTGCTAGGCTTAACAGACATGATACAGGTAGTCCTCGATTTACAACCACAACGGAGCCCCTGTTGCTCCTGTTTCTGTTGCTAAGCGAGACATTTGTTCAGTCAGTGTTGCCCGCTTTTTGTGGCCTTTCTCGCCAACGTTGCTGCGGTCGTTAAATGAGCAACATGGTTGTTAAGCAAATCTGGCTTCCCCGCCAACTTGGCTCGTCAGAAAGTCGCGAAAGGGACACTGCGACCGTCATAAATACGAGCCCGCTGCCAAGAATTTCGATCATGTGACCGCAGGGCTGTGCAAAACAGCCCTAAATTCCCTTTCTACCCCCCACCAGTGCCGTCGTAACTTCGATCGGTCACTAAGCGGAGCGTTGTAAACCGAGGACTACCTGTTTATTAAATCTTCCTCAAAGTTTAGGGGACTTCCGGAAAGAGCGAAACGCATGCAGAGCGGATTCTCTCCTAGCGTGTGAGAATCCCACGTGGCGTCCGTTGTCTCCAATTCATTCTAATCCAGAGTAGGAATAGCGGGGTACCACGTGAAGTGGAGTGTTATTTTTTTTGTGTGTGTGTATGGGGGGGTGTCTCTTGCGTCATCCTTTCATGCGTATTCATGCAAGGCACATGCCACAGCCTCCAGGAACATACAAAGGTTGCCCCCCTCCCTTCCACAATCCTTCTCCCGGCTCGGTTACCTGTGGATCCTTTGGGACCGGGTCAGGCGGCAACGGCTTGGAGGGTGGCTCCGGCCGCGCGGCACCCAGCGCAGCGGGCTGCTGCAGCGAGAGACAGAAAAAGGAGGCGCCCGGAGAGACGGGAAGAAAAGAAAGAGAAAGAATGGAGAAGGAGGCTAAAAAATGTGGGACTGGCGACATGCTGGAGGTTAAAGTCGGACGACGCCATGCGTGGTCGGGGCCGCCATGCACCATGCAACTGGCAAGAGATGATAAAGACAGACAGACAGGGGAGCGATCCAAATTTTAGGGGGACGTCGGGGCCTTGACTTGTGTCGCCCCGTTTCCTCTGCTTTCCCTCTTGTCGGCTACAGGTCGCTCGCGGCGAGCCGACGAAAGGACAAACGAAACGGTGTGCGGAAAAAGACCTTGTGTTGCGCGGCCTGTCGGCCACCGGCCCTTCCAGCAGCCGAATCAGAGGAGGAGGAATGGAAGTCAGGGCAACCTGGGAGCTCCGAGGGGGAAGAGGGAATGGAGCTGGCAGAGAGAGAGAGACGGAGACGGAGCCTGGGCCGTCCGTCTGCCCTCAGATGGAGAAACAACAGCCGCCAGGTCTGGAGGTGGCTGATGAGGAAGAGGAGGAACAGCTGGGTCCGGTGCCTGATAGAAGGCAGAGGAGAGGAGAGCAGTGGAAATCTACGGGCCGGTCTTTGGGACGGAAGAGTGACGCTGCTAGCAAGGCCCCACCCTAGCTCTGGGGACAAAAGGCACGGAGCGGAGATGAATAAGTGTGGCAGACAACGATTCATCTTCCGGCCGGAAGGACTTGTTAGCCTGCGAGATAAACTTTTTGCCGGGGCTTCCGGCATTCCTAATAAAGGAATCTTTTGAGTTCACGTCAGAGGGTTCGTCGTGTTTGAGGAGCTGAGTCAGAACACCTCGAGTGAAAAAATTGCTGCGTAGGGAACAATTAGATAAGAGACGGCTGACCCCACAGCTGTCTAAGGGGTGGAGAAAGCAACTGTCTCTAGTTCCTCAGACTCAAAAAAGAAAAGCACCGTTTGCAGGCCAAAAATGGGCCCGTTTTGGCTAAAAAAACGGGCCGTGCGGAGCACTGCAAAGTACTTCTGGGAACCGAGTAGGGCCGAAACATGATGCGCGGAGGGCCCAAAAGCTATTTTTTCCCCCTTGTTTTTCTCCTGTAAATTTAGGGGCGTCTTATAGTCCGAAAAATACCGGTAGGCTCCCACACTTTTGTTCTGCATCTTTAGAAATTCAAATCACCACATTCCAAAGCCTAGAAAAGAGATCAAATCTCTCCGTGTGGGCTGTCCTTCTTTCCAAGTCTCGTTTTTTTCCTTTTCTTTCGGGAGCCCCCTGCCCCCCCCCAAAAAATTCCTCAATATTAAATCTGTGTGTGGGCCCCGAAATTACAATGGGGCAAGAGAAAGGAACTTTTTTTCCTCTCTCTCTCTCTCTCTCTCTTTTTTTTGCAACGATTGTTCTCGTTTTTCAAACACGGGTCCCGCAGCTTTTTAAAACCTCTTAAATTATAAAATCTTTCCTTGGAGGAACTTCTGTCCGGTTCTGCGGAGAGAAATATTGGCTTTTTGGGGGTGGGGGGGATGAGCCGAAGGAAAAAAAATGGGGGGATGCTTTTTTTCGGTCCTTCCCCTCCCCCTCCCCCATTTACCTTAGACGTTGGCATGAGTTGAAGCTCAGTGCTTGATTTCCACTGTGGGGGCCGAGGACGGTTTGGCGGTGCTTTGCTGTAACTTCGGGGTTCCGGTTGGGTGATTCTAGAGAAATGGGAGTCGGAGGAGATAATTTTAATCCCGGTTTGGGGGCGAGCTCGGAGGAGACACTGCCCGCCGCCTGGAAAATCAAAAACACCCCAATGCAAGCAATCCATGCCACGCGGCCTCCTTCCGAGCCGTTTTCGAATCTGATTATGCCCGGAAGAGGTTCGGCTAAGCCAAAAGGTTCAAGATAGCGGTTTAAGCCATGATCGAGGAAGCCACAGCTGGCCAAACTTGGAGGGAATCAAACCCAGAGAGCAAAAAAAATCAAAAAAGGCACAACAGAAAAACAAACAAACAACTTTTTAAGAAAGCGGAGGGGTAGGTTTTGCAAAGTGCCAATCCGGGCAGGAAAAGAAGCGTTAAGAAACCAGAAAAACCACGGTTTGGGGGGGGGCCTTCACCACCAGCCCGGAGGCCGCAAGCCACGTTTCTGGTTGCCACGTTAAAGGGCCTTCTCGTCCCCTTGATTTTTTTTTTTCCTGCAAAAAGTTTGCAAGAAATTGAGCGCCGACCTCTAGGATGGCAAAATGCCAACGACAGGACATGATCTGGCGCCAGGAAGGTAGTCCTCAACTTACGACAGCTTTGGGCACCAGGATTTTACATCCCGCCGAGCAAGCCGAGTTTGCTCGGGAAGCCTCCTCCTCTTGATTTTACAAGCTTTGTAAAAACCACGGTTCGTGAAGCGAATCGCTGCGGTCGTTAAACAGATCGGGGGGGTCATTAAGTGAATCCAGCTCTCCCCATCTCACCCCGTTGACCCCGCTCGCGGGGAAGGTCGCAACTGGAGACCACGGGATGCTACAAGTGTCACAAAAACATGCCGGCTGAATTTCGACACCGTGAACGTAGGGAATGCCGCAAACATTCGTTATAAGTGCGAGGAATGGTCATAAGTCGCTTTTTTTTTCCCAGCGCCTTTGAGCGGTCGTAAGTCGAGGACTACTTGCAGACCTTAACCCCCCAAACAGCACTGTCACCGTTCCAGAGCCAAGAGACAACCAGCCCCTGCGACCGAGAAAGACCCCCAAAATTTTCACATGCAGAGCGAGGGGGCACGTGTACCCCAAAGCCCATAATCCCTCGCACCTTTCGGCTGGGTGAAGGAATTGCACCTGTGATTCGGGCTCAGTCCTAAAGAGGAAGGGTTGCAGAGTGAATTTACAAAACAGGGTTTGTTCCTTTTTTTTTCTTTTTTCCCCCTAAACAGCTCGTCCCGGAGACTCCGCGGGAATTTAGTTTGTTTATAATTGGGGAGATCTAGTTTAAAGAAAAGGAGGACCAGGAGGGACGTGGTAGCATCTTTCAATATTTGAGGGGCTGCCCCCAAAGAAGAGTGTGGGGGGGGGTTTCCACCTATTCTCCAAAGCACCAGAAGGCAGGACGAGAAGCAACGGGTGGAAACGAACCAAGGAGAGAAGCAACCGAGAAACTTCCTAACAGTGAGGACAATTAACCGGCGAAACAGATTGCCACTAGAAGTTGTGGGTTGCTCCATCACTGGAGATTTTTAATTGTCTGAAATGGGTCTCCTGCGTGAGCAGGGGGTTGGACTAGAAGACCTCCAAGCTCCCTTCCAACTCTGTTATTCTGCTATACTTTTTTCCTTCCTTCCTTCCTTCCTTCCTCCCTCCCTCCCTCCCCATCCACCTATTTGTCTATCTAACCTTCCTCCCTCCCTCCCTCCCTCCCTCCCTCCCTTCTTTCTGTCCCTCCCTTCCAATTCTGTTATTCTGCTATCCTTCCTTCCTTCCTTCCAATTCTGTTATTCTGCTATCCTTCCTTCCTTCCTTCCTTCCATCCCTCCCTTCCAATTCTGTTATTCTGCTATCCTTCCTTCCTTCCTTCCTTCCTTCCTTCCTTCCTTCCTTCCTTCCTTCTGTCCCTCCCTTCCAATTCTGTTATTCTGCTATCCTTCCTTCCTTCCTTCCTTCCTTCCTTCCTTCCTTCCTTCCTTCCTTCCTTCCTCTCCCCATCCACCTATTTATCTATCTAACCTTCCTTCCTCCCTTCCCTTCCTCCCTCCCTTCTCCATCACTGGAAGCCTTTTAAAGAAGAGACCGTGAGCCCTTTGTCTGAAATGGGGATCAGGGGTTGGACTAGAAGACCTCTGGAGGTCCCTTCCAACTCAGACCACGTTCTATGTTCTGCTGTGTGTCATAACTGTTGATTGTATATATTTTCCCCCTGCTTTAATGTTTTATGCTCCAGAAGCCGCCCCGAATCATCGGATACAGTAACAGAGAGTTGGAAAGGAACCTTGGAGGTCATCTAGTCCAACCCCCTTGCTCACCCAGGACACCTGTACTAGGGATTCGAACCGCCGACTTTCCTGACCGTCGACAAGCTCAGTGTCTTCGGAGCCACCTAGTCAGCTGACGGATGGCCAGTAAATTTCCTAAATAAATAAAATTAGCCAGGTCTGGTCGGGAAAGATTAAAACTCCTCGGAGCGGGGCCGGCGAGGAAGAGGAGGAAGAAGAGGAGGCTTACCTGTACTGGCAACTCGTGCCCTTGCCGAATTGGCAGAGGCGCTTGTGGAGGCCCAGGCGCCTGGCACAACACAGACCCACAACCAGCAACGCCGCCAGGAGTAGCGCGATCACCACCAGCGCCGTCGAGGTCGCCCGGTTCGCTGCAAAAGGACAAAGCCAACGAGTGTTAACCTCCCCCTTTTTTTCGCCAAGGCGGAACGGTGCATGGCGAACGGCGGGGGGGAGGAGGGCAAGCCGGGCATCGCGCTAACACAAAGGCGGCCTTGTTTGGTATCCCGTAACAACCCCGTTTTTCACAACACCCGGGGCCTGTGCCTCGCTTGGGGGGTGGGAGGGCGGGGGTGGGGGGGAATGGCCTGTCTTAAAATAAATGCAGGGGAGTTATAGAAAAGAGATGGCACCCGAGCTGGGGAGAGGGAAGGCGTTGGGCCAGGAGGATGGCCAAGGGCGCGCGCACGGGTGTCTTGTGGGGAGTCCGCCGATCGCCGGTAGTTTGGATCTAGCGTTGCTTTTCGGGGGGGAGGCGAAATTCAGCCCTGGATTATTGCCATGTATGCAAATCAGAATCTATCTATCCATCCATCCATCTTATCTCTCTCTCCCTATCTATCCATCCATCTCTCTGTCTATCTAGCTATCTGTCTATCATCTATCAGTCTGTCTGTCCAGCTACCCATATTCATCCATCCATCCACCCACCCATCCATCCCACTGTAGGTCCGTCCCTTCCTCCAATCTATCTGTCCATCCATGCAAGCATCCATCTATCTATCTATCTATCTATCTATCTATCTATCTATCTATCTATCTATATCTATCTCTATCTATCTATCTATCTATCTATCTATCTATCTATCTCTTTCTATCTATCTATCTATCTCTTTCTATCTATCTATCTATCTCTCTATCTCTCTCTCTCTCTCTCTATCTATCTATCTATCTATCTATCTCTTTCTATCTATCTATCTCTCTATCTCTCTCTCTCTCTCTCTCTCTATCTATCTATCTATCTCTTTCTATCTATCTATCTATCTCTCTATCTCTCTATCTATCTATCTATCTATCTGTATATCTCTATTATCCATCCATCCATCCAACCAACTATTTATCTCTATATCTCTATAATCCATCTAATATTCATCCATCCATCCAGCAATCATCTATCTATCCCTATCATCTATATCTCTCTCTACATCTCTCTATCATCTATCTATCTATCTATCTATCTATCTATCTATCTATCTATCTATCTATCTATCTATCTATCTATCTATCTCTATTATCCATCTAATATCCATCCATCTATCCCTATATCTCTATAATCCATCTAATATTCATCCGTCCATCTATCATTTATCATCTATATCTATCTATCTATCTATCTATCTATCTATCTATCTATCTATCTATCTATCCATCTATCTGTATATCTCTATTATCCATCCATCCATTTGTATATCTCTATTATCCATCTAATATTCATCCATCCATCATCTATCCATCCATCATCTATTTATCTATCTATCTATCTATCTATCTATCTATCTATCTATCTATCTATCTATCTATCTATCTATCTATCTATCTATCTATCTATCTATCTATCTCCTCCTCTTCCCTCCCCATCCCGTCTTTAATAAGTTTAATAAGTTTATTTGTGCATTGATGTATTTGCAAACGCACCGCGCCCACTCTCACACGACTTACCTTCCCCCGGGGCGGGGGGCCCGCTATCCACACTGCCCCCAAGGCCACCCGTCTGGCAGTGAGGGGGCGCCCACCCGGGCTCGCAATGGCAGTGCCCTTTGCTGTTACAGAGCTGCAGGTGGAAAAGAAAAAAAAATCTTAAGAGAGTCCAGCCAGGATAAGAAGGGGCAAGATCTCGCGCGGGGGAACCCGATCTGTCGTGGCTGTGGGATCTCTGAGTGGTCTCCTATCTGTGCGACTAGGATAGGGTTTTCTGGGATTTATTTACCCCCCTAGGCTGCTAGGGGCTGCGGAAGAAGAAGGGAGGGGGAAGTGTGGGAGGAGACCTTAAGAAATGGGATGAAGAGAGGCTGCCTAAGGAACAGTCAGATACAGAATAACAGAGTTGGAAGGGTCCCTGGAGGTCATCTAGTCCAACCCCCCCACGCCCACGCCATGAGCCCTCAACTGCATAACGGGGGGGGGGGGGAGAAAGAGGATCAGGAGGGACCCTCCCTAATTTCTCAAGCTGTAAACTCACCACTGTGGTTTTTTTTAAAATATTTGTTTTATCTGACTTTATTCTTATTTTTATAAATAATTCAAAGCACAGCTAATATTCCTTCTGCATCTCTTCTTTCCTCTCCAACAACAACCCTGTGAGGTGAGGTGGGTTGGGCTTTGAGAGAGAGAGAGAGGACGCCCAGCCGGCTTTCACACCTAAAGCTAGAACTCACTAGTTTCCTAGTTTAGGTCTCCTTTCTTTTTTCCCCCCTTTTCAAGCTTCTAGTCCTCAGTTTTCAGCCATCCCACTCCTTTGTAAATTGCTCTTCCCTCAATGGATTATTGATTTAGATAAGTGTTTGGGTGGATATCTTGCAAGGTAGATCTCCCAAAATCCCCGTCCCCGCCTTCTCCCTTTCTCGCAAGTTCCTAGTCCTCAATACTTTTTGCTGAGGACTAGAAACTTCTGTGCACAAAAGTGGTAGGGGAAAAAAAAAGAGAAAATTAGCCGGTATTTTAGCCTACATTTCTTTGGGGTCTTCTGATGTTGGAAAAACAGTTATATATATATATATTACAGTAATATATATATATTACACTTACCCCGCGTCCGTTGCACTGGCATACGGGTAATTTTAATGAGGAAACTTCCTGGCATCGCTGGTTGATACAAACCTAGGAACAAAAAAAAAAAAAATGTGGGTCGTCTTCAACTTACGACAGTTTGTTTAATGACCGTTTGAAGTTACGACGATGCTGAAAAAGTGACCTATGGTTAGTCCTCGCACTTACACAGTCGAGGGATTAAAATTCAACATTTTGGCAAGCGGCACGAATTTACGACGGTTGTTAGCATCCCACAAAAATCACCATCGAGGGTGAATTCAACAGGGGACGCTGGATTCGTTTAACAACGGTGCGATTCGCTGAACGAATCAAAAAGAAGGTCCTAAAATCGGGGAGGGAGGGGAAAACTCGACTTAAGCGCTGTTTCACTTAAGAGACCGATGTTCCAATGGGGGGGGTCGTAATTCGAGGACTTCGCGAGCGGCCTTTCGTTAAGGCAGGGAAGCAATTCCCTCTGACCGCCACCCCAAAATCCCCAAAATCTCAACCGCAAAAGTCCAATCTGAGACTCACTCACTTTGTTAGGACCACAATTTGTCCCCAATAACGCCCAGGCCTCGTCCACGACGTCGGCTGCGACGACAAATTTCAGAGCATCCCGCAGGCAGTTCGAAGTCTTAACTGTTCCGTTCCGTTTTTTCTCGCACTGCAGCTGACCGCACCGGACGTCGCTGTGGGGAAAGAGACGGGAGTCATTTCTGCTTGCGTCCCTTTATGTTTCTAGTCCTCAGTTTTTTTTATTTTTTTTTAAAAGAAGGCCAGGCCGGGCCTCCGGGCCCCACCCACTTCAAAATCTGCGTTCCCGCCAACATTCATCTTACTTTTAGAGTTTTAATCGCTCTCGCAGCGGTGACTTGTAATGCCGTCCTATTTAGCCGGTGGGTGCCTGCGCTTACCTCTTAGCACAGGAAATGTAGGATCCGTCAGGATTCTGCCCACAATTTCCCCGGGCATCTCCCCTCTGATTCAGAGACGTCACGCAGCTTTCCGACGTGGGAATCGCATCTGGGAAAAAAATTTAAAACATTTTTTTTTTAAAAGGGAATTACTGCCAATAACTGCGATCCAGCTACAGGGCTCACCTAAGATAGGATAAAGTGTCATCAATCAATTAATTAGGGTAAATAAAAAGCAGTCAGTTAGTTTTGCTCCAGTGGTTAAGAAAGTGGGAGATGGCGAGTTCTAGTTCCAACTTAAGACGTGAAAGCTGGTTGGGTGGCTTTGGGCCAATCAGCACGAGAGTGGGAGTTCTAGTTCCAAATTAGGCGTGAAAGCTGATTGGGTGGCTTTGGGCCAATCACTGGGAGATGGTAAGTTCTAGTCCTGCCTTAGGCATGAAAGCTGATTGGGTGACTTTGGGCCAATCAGCACGAGAGTGGGAGTTCTAGTTCCAAATTAGGCGTGAAAGCTGATTGGGTGGCTTTGGGCCAATCACCACGAGAGTGGGAGTTCTAGTTCCAAATTAGGCGTGAAAGCTGATTGGGTGGCTTTGGGCCAATCACCACGAGAGTGGGAGTTCTAGTTCCAAATTAGGCATGGAAGTTGATTGGTGGCTTTCGGCCAATCACTGGGAGATGGTAAGTTCTAGTCCTGCCTTAGGCATGAAGACTGATTGGATGACTTTGGGCCGATCACCACAAGAGTGGGAGTTCTAGTTCCAAATTAGGCGTGAAAGCTGATTGGGTGGCTTTCGGCCAATCACTGGGAGATGGTAAGTTCTAGTCCTGCCTTAGGCATGAAGACTGATTGGATGACTTTGGGCCGATCACCACAAGAGTGGGAGTTCTAATTCCAAATTAGGTGTGAAAGCTGATTGGGTGACTTTAGGTCAATCACTGGAAGATGGTGGGTTCTAGTCCTGCCTTAGGCCTGAAGACTGATAGGATGATTTTCGGCCAATCACCAGGTGGCAGTGAGTTCTAGTCCCAATCAGTCGGAGATAAGTGAATTCTACTCCCGACTTAGGCGTAAAAGCCACTGGATGACTTTGGGCCAATCACCAGGAGACTGGAATTCTAGTCCTGACTTAAGCATGAAAGCTGATTGAGTGAGTTTATCACCAGGAGATGGTGAGTTCTAGTCCTGCCTTTGGCATGAAAACCAGCTGGATGACTTTGGGCCAATCACCAGGAGACAGGGAGTTCTAGCAGCCTAATCAAACATGAACCTATTTAATTGCCACAGGCAGTCCGCTTCGACCTCAACCGCATGACCCACTTAACAACGGCACAAGTTGCTTCGCCACCGTGACGGAAAAGGTCGCAAAAAAGTCGGCCGCGACTCACTCGACTAACGCAACGGAAATACCGCTTCCAGTTGTAGCCGTACATTGAGGACTGCATCTAATGCAGGGGGATGGAATCTCAGCTTACCGGGACCCCAACGGGCTTGGCACTGGCTTAAGTATGTGGGGCAGATGCCCCCATGGCACACAGCCTTGCCGCCTTCGCATAAGCTGCCATCTTGCTTGTAGACGTTCGAAGGGCAGCGTGGGGAAGTCCCGTCGCAGAATTCGGGGAGGTCGCATTCGTTCTGGACTGGACGGCACGTGTGTCCAGCACTGCGTAGCTACACAAGGAGGAACAGAGAAGATGGGGGGGGGAGAAATTACCAACACAGGCAATCCTTGACTTACAACAGTTCGTTTAGTGACCATCCGAACTTGCAACAGCACTGTGGAAAAAAAGCACTGTTTTTCACACTTACGACCGTTGAAAACCTCCCCACGATCGGACACTCGGCAACTGGCATGTACTTATAACGGTTGCAGCCTAGTCCCAGGGTGACGCGATTCCCTTTTGCGAACTTCTGACAAGCCGAAGTTCCACGAGGGAAGCCAGATTCGTTTCGCAAATCGTGCAACTGACTTAACAACGGCAGTGTTACTGCCAATGGTGGCCGGGAAGGTCGCAAAATGGGGCAAAGCTCTCTTAATGCCTATCTCGCTGAGCAACAGAAATTCGGGCCTCCATTGTGCTCCTAAGCTGAGGACTACCTGGAGAAGCAATTTCGTTTCTAGTTGGAAACCGTTTCTGGACTTCATGCTTGAGGTGAGAAAAAAAAAAACCTCCAAAACTTTAATTTGCGGTTTGCTGATTAGATAAGTTTCTTGTTGTAGAAACGGCTAGTATATATTATTTTGCAAAAGTTAAAAAAAAATCAAAGCTGTGCGTTAATTACCTTATTCTACTGTGCTAAAAAAGTCAGAACTCAACGTTTTCTTTTTCCTCTTCCCTTTTTCCTCCTTTCCTCCTCCCCCTATTTTCCCCTTTCTTTGAATGTTATACTTTGATAAACTATTAAAAAGTTTGGCCGCTCTATTTACTGCAGCTAGAATTGTATTTGCACAACACTGGAAGAGCGGAGAGCTTCCTATTGAAGAGGTGGAGATAAGGAAAATATTAGGATGTGCAGAAATGAATAGATTAACGTTGGCAATTGAAGAGAAAGAGCAAAACTGAATATTATCTGATATGGGATGGGAAGTATTTTATCAATGGTTGGAGAATAAAAACGGAGTTTGGAATGAAGGAGACCAAAAATAAGCAGAAAATATATTAAGAAAGAGTTATAAATAAGATGAAAATTGTTAGTATATGGATGAAGAGAGTAACGATATTTGATGTTAATACGGTATTATTATTGAAAGATGCTAAGAAGAAACTGGGGAGTTTTACAATATTTAAATGCGTAACGTACTGAACTTATTATAAAATTAATGTGAGTGTGGAAGGTAAATGATAAATGAGGAAGGATGTAGCACAGAGTTACAGAGCTTCAATTGAGGATCGAAAACGGGAACAGAATCTGGGATTCTTCGGGGCAGCGGGATTGGGGCACGAACAGAGTTCCTGGCGGAATCCTGGTTTGCATCAAAAAGGGGCTCAGGATGAAAGGAAAGGGTTTCCCCTGCATTTTGGGGAGGGGGCACCTTACCTTGCATTGGTGACAGCAAGATTGTCCGGTGGCACACTGGGCTCCTGGAATTAATTGGCAGGTGGTTGCATTGCAACACGGATCCGTACACTCCTGGAGAAGGAAGGAAGGAGAAAATGGAACGGGGAAATAATAATAATAATAATAATAATAATAATAATAATAATAATAATAATAATAATAATAATAATAATAATAATAATAATAATAATACTCTTATAACAATCCCCATAATTCCTTGCAGTGGTGGCAACTGAATGGAACTGAGTGTTTTACTGGCCGGATGCCCTGCCTGTTGCCAGTGCGGAGTTGTTGTTTTTTTTCCCAGCAGATATAGCTGGAAAGAGCCGAGGTGGCGCAGTGGTTAGAGTGCTGTACTGCAGCTACTTCAGCTGACTGCTAGTTCAGCAGATCAGCGGATCAAATCTCGCCAGCTCAAGGTTGACTCAGCCTTCCGTCCTTCCGAGGTGGGTAAAATGAGGACCCAGATTGTTGGGGGGGCAAGATGCTATTTAGTATACTGTCGATTGTTGGAAGCCGCCCAGAGTCCTCGGAGAGTGGGCGGCATAGAAATATGATTAATAAAATAAAATTAATTAATTAATTCTCATTGTGTCCAGAGAGAGAAACAGGGATGGGATTCAGCCGATTTAGATCGGTTCTGGCGAACTGGTAGCTCCGACGATCAGCTGAGAGCGAACCGGTTCGCTCCGAACAATCAGGTGGGCCTGTCCAGTGGTGGGATTCAAATAATTTAACAACCGGTTCTCTGCCCTCATGATTTCTTGCAACAATTCAGTTCACCCAACGGCTCAGAAAGTTAACAACCGGTTCTCCCGAAGTGGTGCGAACTGGCTGAATCCCACTCGCCTCTGCGCTCTACTGATCTATATTTCCTCTGTTTGAAGCCTAGCTGATCGGCATGGCAGAGCGGATAACCATACCCTCAGTTGTTTTACTCACCGGGGCTGCAGTACAAGGTAAGTTTTAGAGCTGTTTTCAAACACACGGCGTGGGCGGGGAGCACGTATGTGACGCATGCGCGAGTGAAGCAAACCGGTTAAATCCCAGCACTGGAGAGAAATATCTGCCTCTACCTAGGATCGAACTTGCAGCCTCCTGATTGTGAGGTGAGAGCTCCACCCCTAGGCCACCGCACCACAAAGGGGACATAACAGTAATCATCATTTGATCAAATCGACGGCTTCGATTAAAGAAAAGAATGCAATTCGTGTTTACTTGGAAACCGTTTCTGGACTTTGTGCTCGAGGTGGGGGGAAAAAAACTGAAACTTTGCTAGGCCCGAAGCGAGAAAGAAAATTGTGGTCTTTCGGTATTTCGTACCAAAAAGAGGCCGCAATCGCACTGTTCTCCAGATTCTACCAGGCGGTTCCCGCAACGGGACTTCGCCAAGCGGGTTGCTTCGGGCTGGTCGAGGAGGCAGCCGACCTGGTTGCTCTGGAGGATTTCTTGAAAACGTCGTTGGCTGCAGGTGCTGAAACTCAATCCGGGCATAATCCTAGCGAAGGAAAGAAGAGAGTTTTTTTTTCAGGACAATCCTGACTTACAAGGTTGTGGGAAAGGAGGTGAGGGTGTCGATCTTAGCTTCGCTGTTCAGAATAACGGGCCAGCAGAGTCGGAAGGGACCTCGGAGGTCTTCTAGTCCAACCCCCTGCTGAGGCAGGAAACCCTATCCCATTTCAGACAAATGGCTGTTCAATCTCTTCTTGAAAACCTCCAGTTGTTGTGGCTCCGTTACCTGAGCCTGTGTCATCGGCAGGAGAGGACTCCGAGAGTGAAGGAAAGGAGTTGGCAAGGCCTCCCTCTCCAGGACCCTCCTCTCTGGCAATGCCTTCGGTGTTCGCCGAAGGGCAAGAGATAGGGCTGGGGCCAAACACGTCCATGCAACCACAGGTGGACAGTGATGAGGGTAATGAGTCTTGGCTGGATCCACGCCAGCGTCGCAGAGATAAGCGCACACAACAGAAGAAAAGCCGTGCCCGAGATTAGGCTGAGTCACTGGACCACACCCCACAGGCTATAAAAGGGAGCGTGGTGGCCAGTCAAACCTTGTGACGAACAAAGCTGAAAGCTTCCACACTATTCTGCATTGCCGGACTTTTGCTATAGACTTTGCTGGATTATCTCTGGACTTGATTGACTCCGTAATTATTGAGCTGTTTCTTTTGATGTACCAGAAGCGGGGAGAAGTTATCTCTCCTCTTCGTAAGTAATAAACTCTTGGCAGGCAGCCACTAGGTTGCTGCCAAGTTCCGTTATCATAAGGAAAAGGATTTTGTCAGCTGGTTTGGTTTTTAACTCTTGGACGTCTGTTGGTGTGTTTGCGTGTGAGACGGGGACAGAACACCAGTGACGGAGCATTCACAACTTCTGGAGGCAAGTAGTTCCACTGGCTAATTGTTCTAACTGTTAAGAAATTTGTTCCAATATGTAAGGGGCTGCCCCAAAGAAGAGGGAGTCAATCTATTCTCAAAGCACCTAAAGGCAGGACAACAAGCAACAGATAGAAACCAACCACAGAGAGAAGGCACCTAGAACTAAGAAGAAATTTATGGTAGAGGGTTTAGGGTTTCCTTCCTTCGCAGGGGGTTGGACTAGAAGGCCTCTAAGATCCCTTCCAGTTCTGTTATTCTATTAACCTGTTCTGCAAAGCATCTGAAGGCAGGACAGGAAACGATAAGATGGAAACTAATCAAGGAGAGAAACAACCAAGAGCTAAAGAGAGTACACACAATTAACCAGTGGAACTGCTTGCCACCAGAATCTGTGGGTGCTCCATCACTGGAGGCTTTTAAGAAGAGACTGGACAGCCACTTGTCTAAAAGTGGACAGAGGGTTGGACTAGAAGACCTCCAAAGGTCCCTTCCGACTCTGTTATTATTCTGTTTTTTTTCACTTCCAATGCTCCGGGAAGTTTCAAATCACTCCAGCGAAGAAAACCCCAGCGAGAAAATCTCCAGCTGCCTGAAAACAAGAGAAGACAAAACGGAAGCGTACGTCGGGAGCACGAAGACATTTGCGAAGACTCACCCTGTCGGCGCTTCCATGATGCACTTCCGGCTCTGGGGACGGATGGAAGTGTTGCAGCCGCAGCCGTCGCTGTCGTGGGCGAGACCGAGATTGTGGCCAAGTTGATGTGAAAGAGTGGAAGCCATGATTAAAGAGCTAACGGAATGGCCCTGGGGTGGAAAACAAACCAGGATTCGGGAAAAATGAATCGCGCACATCCAACCCTATAAAAACAACTAATTTCTAAAGGCCCCGGACTTATAACAATTCGTTTAACAACCATTTGAAGTTAACAGCAGCACTAATAAGTGACTTACGACCGTTCCTCGCCCTTACGACCATCGTGGCATTCTCATGGCCACGGGGGACATAATTCAGAAGCCGTTTAATGTAAGTTTAATGACATTTCATGTAAGTACATTTAAATGCCAGTGGTGATCACGCCGTCCTTGGGATGCTCTAACTGTCATCGATTCGTGCCAGTCGCCAAGTTTCTAAAATTGTAATCAACTCAAAAATACACTTTTCCCAAAAGGTTTCCACAATTTTGGCCACTATTGTAAATTGAGAATTACCTGTATTCTGAAAGATAAGATTCTCGGAGTTTTCTTTAACCAGATTTATTGAACGGGAAAGAAGCAGTAAGTTAGAGCACCTAATTTATCTTCGGGAATCTTTGATCTTCTTGCTCAGCAGCCGCGGTGACTCCGGGGTAAGCGGCCGAAGGGAGTATAAAAAAAAAAATCGGCCCCTTGCGATGTTTTTGCAAGCCCCTGTCCCTGTTTCCCGGGCTCCGAGAAGCCCCTTCAACTCACCATGCTGATCCCACCGGAACCTTTTGAGCAGATGGATCCTTGGGTCGACGCGCCAATCACGCCGGCGGGAAACGGAGGACCACTGTGGCCGAAAAGGAACCCGGGAGAATTTGCACGAATAAATGCAAACAAACAAACAAATAAATAAATAAATAAATGAAAGAAAGAAAGAGAAAGAAAGAAAGAAAGAAAGAAAGAGAAAGTAAATCAAGAGTTGTTTGGTTTTGCAGGAATTCTGCTAAAATGATTTTAAGCGGGTTGGAGATTTGAAGGACCCCGTAATAGTAACTCTTTCTCTCTTTCTCTCTCCCTCTTTCTCTTTTTCCCTCTCTCTCTTTCTCTTTGTCTCTCTCTCTCTCTCGCCCTCTCTCTGTGTCTTTCTCTTTCTATCTTTCTCTCTCTTTTTCTTTGTCTCTTCCTGTCTTTTTCTCTCTCTCCTCTCTCTCTCTTTCTCTCTTTCTCTCTCTTTCTTTCTCTTTCTGTCTCTTTCTCTTTCTCTCTCTCTCTCTCTCGCCCTCTGTGTGTCTTTCTCTTTCTATCTTTCTCTCTCTCTTTTTCTTTGTCTCTTTGTCTCTTTTTCTCTTCCTGTCTCTCGTTTTCTCGCTCTCCTTTCTCTTTCTCTCTTTCTCTCTCTCTCCTCTTTCTCTCTCTCTCTTTCTCTCTTGCCCTCTCTGTCTGTCTTTCTCTTTCTTTCTCTCTTTTTTCTTTGTCTCTCTCTCTTTTTCTCTTCCTGTCTCTCTTTTTCTCTCTCTCTCCTCTCTGTCTTTCTCTTTCTCTCTTTCTCTCTCTTTCTCTTTCTGTCTCTCTCTCACACTTTCTCTCTGTGCCTTTCTCTTTCTGTCTCTCCCTTTCTTTCTCTCTGTCCCTTCTCTCTTTCTCTTTTTGCACTTAGCTTATTAAAAATATATATATTTAAAAAAAACCCAAGTTGCTAGTCCTCTTGCTGACCCAAGAACCTGCATGCACCTGACGTCTTACACAATGAGCTGAACGTTGTCGTGGGGAACCTGGGGCAGCAAATCCTTCTCTCTCCACGCCAGGAACCGCCGGAGAATTTCTTTTGCGCTTCCGTTCGTCGACACCTGGTTGCCGTTATTCCAGACTTCGGCACCGACCAGAGCCACCCGCAGACCCAGCAGCCTGTAGAACTGGAAGGGGGAAAAGAATAAGAAGGAGAAGGAGAAGGAGAAGAAGGAGGAGGAGGAGGAGAAGAAGAAGAAAAAGAAGAAGAAGAAGAAGAAGAAGAAGAAGAAGAAGAAGAAGAAGAAGAAGAAGAAGAAGAAGAAGAAGAAGAAGAAGAAGAAGAAGAAGAAGAGGAGGAGGAGGAGGAGGAGGAGGAGGAGGAGGAGAAGAAGGAGAAGAAGAAGAGGAGGAGGAGGAGAAGGAGGAGAAGAAGAAGAAGAAGGAGGAGAAGAAGAGGAGGAGGAGGAGGAGGAGGAGGAGGAGGAGGAGGAGAAGAAGGAGAAGAAGAAGAGGAGGAGGAGGAGAAGGAGGAGAAGAAGAAGAAGAAGGAGAAGAAGAAGAGGAGGAGGAGGAGGAGAAGGAGAAGAAGAAGAGGAGGAGGAGGAGGAGGAGAAGAAGGAGAAGAAGAAGAGGAGGAGGAGGAGGAGAAGGAGAAGAAGAAGAGGAGGAGGAGAAGAAGAAGGAGAAGAAGAAGAGGAGGAGGAGGAGGAGAAGAAGAAGGAGAAGAAGAAGAGGAGGAGGAGGAGGAGAAGAAGAAGGAGAAGAAGAAGAGGAGGAGAAGAAGAAGAAGAAGAAGAAGAAGAAGAAGAAGAGGAGAAGGAGGAGGAGAAGAAGAAGGAGAAGGAGAAGGAGAGGAATAGGAAGAAGAGGAGGAGGAAGAAGAAGAAGAAGAAAATGATGATTTTGCACAGAGTAGCAACCATCCAATGATGGACGGTTGAATGTTGAGAACAGCCTGTATAATGTAGGCTACTCCAGAGGAAACGATTCTGCTAAATTATTATTTCATTATTTTTTTAAAAAAAACCCTCTTTAAACTGTTTTTAATCTCCTTTGTGGCATCCAGATTAGTCTCACAGGCCGGCCTTTCCCATTTGGGTGCTAAATCTAGAGGTATGTAAGATGGAATTCAGGGTTTCCTCTTTGCGTAGATAAATAACAGAGTCGGAAGGGACCTTGGAGGTCTTCTAGTCCAACCCCCTGCGAAAGAAGAAAGGAAGGAAGGAAGGAAGGAAGGAAGGAAGGAAGGAAGGAAGGAAGGAAGGAGAGAAAGGAGGGAGGAGGGAGGGAGGGAGGGAGGAAGGAACAAATAGCACAATAACAGAATTGGAATGGAGGGAGGGAGGGACGGACAGAAGAAAGGAAGGAAGAGAAGGAAGGAAGGAAGGAAGGAAGGCAGGCGGAAGGGAATAGGGAGGGAAGGAAGGAAGGAAGGAAGAAAGGAAGGAAGGAAGGAAGGCAGGCAGGCAGGCAGGCAGGCGGGAGGGAATAGGGAGGGAAGGAAGGAAGGAAGGGAGGAGAGAAAGGAGGGAGGGAGGAAGGAACAAATAGCAGAATAACAGAATTGGAATGGAGGGAGGGACGGACGGACGGACAGAAGAAAGGAAGGAAGGAAGGCAGGCGGAAGGGAATAGGGAGGGAAGGAAGGAAGGAAAGAAGGAAGGAGGGAAGGAAGGCGGGAGTGAATAGGGAAGGAAGGAAGGAAGGAGGGAGGGAGGCAGGAAGGAAGAATAGCAGAATAACAGAATTGGGAGGGAGGGAGGGAGGGAATAGGGAGGGAAGGAAGGAAGGAGAGAAAGAAGGAAGGAAGGAGGGAGGGAGGAAGGAAGGAAGAATAGCAGAATAACAGAATTGGAAGGGACCTTGTAGGTCATCTAGTCCAACCCCCTGCTCAAGCAGGAGACCCTATCCTGACAAGTGGCTGTCCAATCCCTTCTTAAAAACCTCCAGGGATGGAGCACCCCCAACTTCTGGTGGCAAGGAGTTCCACGGGTTGATCGTTCTCACTGTCAGGAAATTTCTCCTTGTTCCTAGGTGAAACCTCTCCTTGAATGGAAACTCATCAAGGAGAGAGAAGCAACCTGGAATTAAGGAGAAACTTCCTAAGCAGTGAGAACAATTAACCGGTGGAACTGCTTGCCACCAGAAGTGGTGGGCGCCCCATCCCTGGAAGTTTTAAAGAAGAGACTGGACAGCCCCTTGTCAGAAATGGGATCGGCAGGGTTTCAGGCCAAGAAAAGAAAAAAAAGGAATGTCGGAATCGCGGCTCACCCCATCCATGTGGCTGGCGATTTCCAAGATCCGGGTTCGAGTCCGGTTGAGGTTCGGATCCAGCTTGAACTGAAAGGCAAAAAGATTGGTGGCAGAAGTGGGATCCGCGTGGGATCCAAAGGGAGTTTTCGGGGGTGGGGCGGCCTAATTAGATCTATGGGATTCTTGAGGCTTTGAGGGAATCAAAACTGCGGTGAGAAAGTGGGGCGAGCAGAGGGGGGAAACGAAAGGAGGGCTTACTCACTGAGATCTAGCCACATGAGAGTTCAAATGACACTAACTAATCCCTTCCATTCAGGAAATCCTGCAATTTTATTTTTTCCCCCTTGCAGAAATGTCTTGATCAGCCTGCAAAATATATAATTGGGTCTGGGGGCAAATTGGGAAGGGGGAAGACAGTCCTCACCTCGGCGTGGTCGGCCACTATCACCAGCTCCACATAACCACGCTCGGCCTCCGCTTCTCGCTTCACCTGGGAGGAAAAAGGGAGGAGTCAGGACAGAGGAGGCCGAAGTGCTGGGTTCGAGACCAGATCGGGCACATTGGATAAAAAAAATCCAATAAATATACAGGTGAAAATTAATAAAGAACAAAACTCTAGCTTAAAAAAATGACCCCCTTTTTCTTACTTTAAGGCTAAATACAGGCAGTCTTCTACTTACGACCATTCGTTTAGTGACCGAAGTTACGACGGCATTGAAAAAAGGGACTTTTTAACCATTTTTCACACTTACGACCGACCGTTGCAACATCCTGATTCAAAATTCGGACGCTCGACAACTGACTCATATCTATGACGGTGATGGCGCCCGGGGGGGGGCGGGGAGGATGTCACGTGATCCCTTTTTGCGACCTTCTGATGAGCCAAGACAACGGGGAGGCCAGATTCATTTAACGGCCATGCAGCTCGCTTAACGACTGCAGCGATTCAGTGGCAAGGAAAGTCGTAAAATGGAGCCAAACGCCCCGAATCACCGTCTCACCTAGCCACAGAAATTGGGGCTCCATGGAGGGGTCATAAGTCGAGGATTACTTGTATTGGGGGGGTCACCAAAATGGGAGGGAGGGAATGAAAATCTTTCCGGCTTTTATTTTAACAGCGGCTAGAATTATATTTGCAAAAAATTGGAAAGGAGAGAAGATAATTCCTGACGAACAAATTATTAAGAAAACGTTGGACTGTGCTGAAATGAGTAGATTGACATTTGAAATAAGAGAAGAGGAAGATAAACAATATTATTTTGATACGGGAGCTATTTTATCGATGGATAGATAATAAACGGAGATGAAATATTATATATGAAATGAAATTTGGATAAAATGCGTAAATGCTTGTTTTTTTGTTAGAGGAAAGAACATGTGTCCTTCGTTGAGATTTTGAAAATTTGGAGAGCACGGAATGATTTTTAACCGATCGAAACACTGTCTGGAATTGTTTGGAAGGATGATGTTTTTATGTTGTTTTTGTTTCAAAAAATAAAAAAAAAATTGCAAAAAAAAAGGAAAAAAAATCTTTCCGGCTTTTTGGGTGAAATCAGGCAGCATTTAAACCATTTTTTCTGGGTTCCCCCCCTCCCCCCAAAAAATGAGGAGGGAAAAAATTGAGAAAAAAATGTTTTTCTCTCCCAATTTTTCCGGGTTTTTTATTTTTTTGCAGGCCTTCCCGCCTCTATTTTGGAGTTTACATTTTAAAATTTAATCCACCCTACCCGTTGCAACGGTGCCTGTTTTGACTCCAGATGTGGGTGAAATCGTTGGCTCTGTGTGCAAATCCCGCTTGCCGGCTTCAGTCCGTAGGCCCTCGTCTTCCCGTCTGGGGTAGATTCCAAGGTGTAGCTTTTAAACCGGGAGACGGTAAGGAGACCACTAAGTGATCAAAAAAAAAAAAAGAGAGAGAGAGAGAGAGAGAGAGAGAGAGAGGAAGGTTGGGTTTAAAAGTGCAATATTTTGGATTTCTTTGGCATTCAGGGTGGTGAATTCGCTCCAGTTTTTCAGGAATGGGTCAGAGTGGGGAATTTAGGCATGCTTTTTCGTCAAATTTGGGGCTCGGGTTAACCGTTTTCCTCTTCCGTCCTTCCCGCGTTTTCTTTCGGGCCTGCCGGAATGGAAAGACGAGAATTGGGAATAATTTTGCTTGGTATGAAGATTATTTTTTTAAAAAGTCTTCTAAATAAATCAATAAACGCTGGCCGAGCTGAGATGTCTCTGCAAAGCGTTTTATTTTGGATGGCTTAAGGTTAGCGCCGCAGGATACGGCCACTGGTTGGGGATCATGGGATTCGGAGTAGGGTTGTCCGGAGTAGGGTTGTCCTCAGGAGTCCTGGAAGATCAGCAAAAAGGTGGGACCACCCACGCCTCAGGAAAGCAAAGGAGAAAGCGAAAGTGAAAGCAACGCGAGGGGGAAGGGAAGGAGAGCATGAAAGCGGAAACGAACGGGGAGAGGAAAGTGAAAGTGAAAGTGAAGGGAGAGGAGGTAAAGGGGTAAAATGAAAGTGAAAGCAACGGGAGGGGGAAAGTGAAAGTGAAAGTGGACCACCGTGCCTCAGGAAAGCAAAGGAGAAAGCGAAAGTGAAAGCAACGGGAGGGGGAAGGGAAGGATAGGATGAAAGTGGAAACGAACATGGAGGAGAGGGAGGAGAAAGTGAAAGCAAAAGTGAAGGGAGAGGAAGTAAAGGGAAGGATAAAACGAAAATGAAAATGAACCTGGAGGAGAGGGAGGAGAAAATGAAAGTGGAAGCAAAGAGAGGGCAAGTAAAGGGAACGATAAATGAAACTGAAAACAAACATGGAGGAGGAGAAAGTGAATGTGAAAGTGAAGGGAGGGGAAGTAAAGGGAAGGATAAAATGGAAGTGAAAACGAACATGGAGGAGAGGGAGGAGAAAGTGAAAGTGAAAGTGAAGAGAGGGAAAGTAAAGGGAAGGATAAAATGAAAGTGAAAATGAAGGAGAGAAGGAGAAAGGGAAAGGGAAGGGAGGGGAAGTAAAGGGAAGGATAAAACGAAAGTGAAAATGAACGTGGTGGAGAGGAAAGAGAAAGTGAAAGCGAAAGAGAAGGGAAGGGAAGTAAAGGGAAGGATGAAAGGAAAGTGAAAATGAGCAAGGAGGAAGGAGAAAGTGGAAGTGGAAGGAATGGAGAGCGCGATGCTGCCCCGATTTTTAACCGTCCTTACCTTAAACCCGAACAAACACAGACACTGGCCCAAGAGTCGGGGTATCCTTGAACGCTCCCCCGATAACAGCAGTTACCCTAAAAAAAAAAAAAAAAAAAAAGAACCAAACAGAACAAAGACCTTAAATCTTAATTCAGCCGAAAGAAAGCATAAAATTCCTCTTTTACAAATTAGAACATCAAAACAAACCACAGTTTAATTGATGGAATCCAGAGGCTTGCTCAGGGCAGGATGAGAGGATAAGCCAAGGTTTGATTCCCAGGTGTGCTGAATGCTACCCCTCCCGTCAGAATAAGGAGCTTGGAGGGGGGGGTTTCAACTGTGACCCCCCCCGCACATCTTCAAAGGGGTACCCAATTTTTGAGGCATCTCAATGGGCATTTTATGTTAAGACATCCGCTGTAAATGAATTCAACAAACACTCCATATTTTGGCTATTAAGACAACTCCGTGGAGCCTCCAGCTCCAGGAACAGTCTACCTCTGGACCGCATTCCACTGAATGCTGGCGTCTAGCGTAGAAAACCGAGAAAATTAAACGTGGAGTCTTACCTCCGGACTGGCTGGATGCACCGTTCTTGTCCCGTTTGGGAGGTAGTACGTTAACCCTGAGCTGCCCGTCATCAGTTCCCTGCAGAGGAAAAACAAGCCAACATCGACCGGAAATGACCGTTAACGGCAAGCCTTGCTATGTTGGGTCTTAGCTCAGCTGGGCCCCCCTAGATCCGTTCCTATTTCCGTGGCGTGGCGGCTAAGAGGCTGAGCTTGTCGATCAGAAAGGTTGGCAAGTTCGGCGGTTCAAATCCCTAGTGAGCAGGGGGGGTTAGACTAAATGACCTCCAAGGTCCCTTCCAGCTCTGCTACTGCTACCTCGCGGCAGAGAAAGGTGGTTTTTTTAAAAAAATAAATAAATACCGCTTTGATCTCCTTCAAACTCCTTCTTCCAGGGTGGTTTAAGACAGACTGCTCCTGCCTATATGGAAGCTCTATATATTTTAATTTGATTTATATGCCGCCCTTCTCCGAGACTCAGGGCGTCTTACAAGGCGTTAAGCAATAGCCTTCATCCTTTTGTATATTTTTATACAAAATTCAGCTTATTGTCCCCACAATCCGGGTCCTCATTTTAACCGACCTTAGAAAGGATGGAAGGCTGAGTCAACCTTGAGCCTGGCGAGATTCGAACTCGCAGTAATTGCAGGCAGCTGGTGTTAATCGCAATGCTTTTTGTCTGCTGAGCCACCAGGCCCTATTTGCATACAGAACCCCAGAATCAGAGGGTTCCCTTGAGGTCATCCAGCCCAACCCCCTAGCTCAGGGCAGGCCTCCCCATTCAAGGACTTCAAGGAATAACTTCAATTCAGTTTATGATTTGAACCATTTTTTCCTGGTTTCGTTTTAGGCTGACCTTCTCGATTTTGGGGTGGGGCATCCAACTGGAGACACCCCCCCCCTCAGACTCTGGGACCCCCCCCCCACCTTCCCCCGACTCACCGATTCTGTGCCAAATCCAGAAGCAGACCCTCCCCTTCCACCTCGAAAGCAAGCTGGAGCCGAGCGGGGAAGCTGTGGGGACCCTAAAAAAAGAAGAGAATGGGGGAGGGAAAAATAAAAATAAGACCCAATTTTGGAGCAGGGCGCTTGGGAGTATTTATTATTTATTATCGTTTTAATTAACGGGGCCAAATCTATCTATCTATTTTTAACTGTGTTTTAATATTTGTACTTGATGTTTTTATTTGGCTGTTCACCGCCCTGAGTCCTCAGGGAGAAGGGCGGTATACAAATTCAAAAATAAAATAAAATTAAATAAAATAAATTATTTATTTATTAATTTAATTTGTATACCGCCCTTCTCCCAGAGGGGACTCAGGGCGGTGAGCAGCCAAAATTAAAAAAAAAAACATACAAATTACAAAAGTTAAGATAATTAAAAAGTCCATGCATGCCCCCTCCCTCTACCCGGCTGGGGGAAGCCGCCCTTCGTCAGTTTGGGGTAGGGTGGGGGTCTCCGCCAGCATCTGCAGAAGGTGTCTGCCGCATTCCTTTCCCTGCCCCACCAGGGTTTTCCTGCTCTATAGTAATAGACGGAAATGTTCCGGAGACTCCCGACATCCGTGGCACGGGGTGGGGTGAGGGGGGGCACACGTGGCTGTGGGGTGGGGGGTGAGAGGTGTGTGAGAGAGGAGATGAGCTCATCCAACTGGTCAAACCGGCAGTTGTCGAAACAGGCTCGTCATTTACGCCTTGCCTTGTCTGCCAAAGCTCCCAAAAATTGTTTGGGGGAAAGCGCCTTTACCAACGGTGCTGCCTGCAAGTCAACCGTCCGAGCGGCCTGCACGATTCTCGGGGTGACAGGCCACGAACAAAGGGAGTCGTGATTCCAGGGTTCACGGCTGGAAGCATCTGCAAAGGTGAAAAAAAATGTTGGTTTTAAGGAGTGTGGGTATTTTTAAATTTTTTTAAAGGGTTGGGGGTCTTCTCCTGTGCCCCAGAAGTTGGATTTCCACATGGGTGGGTGGGTGTGGTGTCTCTCAATGTGGGGTGAGGTATAAAATCTGTGCCCCCCCCAAAAAAAGAAATACGTTCTTGCAAATCCCTTCCTGCAATAATTTTGATTTTCACGAGATCTAGGGCAAGTTTTCTCGGGCTTAGCAATTTCAAGAGGGATGGACTTCAACTCCCAGAATTCCCCAGCCAGCTTGGTTTAAGTTAGATGGACTTCAACTCCCAGAATCCCCCAGCCGCATGTTTTTCATCAAATACCACTGTTGGAGGCATATTATATTTCATGCATCTCACTTGGGGAGCCAATCTATTTCCAGCACCCATTTATTTGCTCTGGAAGCCACCAAAACTTTGCCCGTAAGGTGCTAGTCCTCATGAAAATCCATTTCCACCCCATATATCAATAGTTTTCACACATCTTAAAGTTGCTAAGATTGAGAAACAGTGATTTAGGTGCTAGGACTCAACTCCTGAGATTTTCACCAAATCTTGAGGACTAGAAACCCAAGAAGGCCCTTTAGCCCAGAGCAGGTTCTTTTAAATCACCAAAGGAGCCCTTTCTTTTGACGATGGGAGTTGTAGTCCGACACGGATGGATGATACCGGAGTTTGGGTTTGAATATTTCTATTATCTACCCCAATTTTTCCCCAGCTTCACACCTCCCTTTGGTCCCAGCCTGCACAACTGGTGAGGCTGATGGGAGATGTAGTCCACGTTGAAGAAAGGCCCCTAAACTACTCTCGTTTCTGACAGGGATGGGAGTAGCTCCACTACTCCGCGGAGATGCTGAGTGCTCTCTGCACATGCTCAGAGGCACGGAAACATCACCTGTCTTTCTACCTTCGGGGCTGCACTGCCTGCTGGCTAAACCCGGAGAGAAAACAGTACCGGAGCCTCTGTAGCTTCAGACTTGGGGGAAGGAGACTCTGCCCATGACCCCGAAGCCCCCAGACCCTATTCCGTGCCTTTAAGTGAACTGTCATAGTGGGAAGGCTCTGCCCATGACCCAGATGCCCCCCGACCCAATTCCATGCCTCCGAGCAAGCTGTCATGGGGGAAGGAGACTCTGCCCATGACCCCGAAGCCCCCAGACCCTATTCCATGCCTCTAAGTGAACTGTCACAGTGGGAAGGCTCTGCCCATGACCCAGAAGCCCCCAGACCCAATTCCATGCCTCTAAGCGAGCTGTCACGGGGAGAAGGCTTTGCCCCGACGCCCCCAGACCCTATTCCATGCCTCTAAGTGAACTGTCACGGGGGAAGGAGACTCTGCCCACGACCCGACGCCCCCAGACCCAATTCCGTGCCTCGGAGCGAGCTGTCACGGGGAGGGATTCTTTGCCCACGACCCGAAGCCCCCAGACCCTCTTCCGTGCCTCTAAGTGAACTGTCACAGTGGGAAGGCTCTGCCCACGACCCTGACGCCCCCCCACCCCGACCCAATTCTATGACTCCGAGCGAGCTGCACGGGGGAGGGAGGCTTTGCCAACGACCCCCGACCCAATTCCGTGCCTCCGAGCGCGCCTTCGCCCTTCCAGCACTCTACCCGGCCAGGCTGTTGCGCAGGCTGCTCCTTTCCTCTCTTGCCCCCCCACCTCCCAATCTGCAGTAGGGTGCCCCCCCTATCTCCCCCTCGGGGGTCTCTCCCTCCCCTCGCCGGCGTCTCACCTGCCAGGCATCCCCAGGACGCCCAGAGTACCAGCAGCACCAGCAGCTCCATGCTCGGACAGCGCCTTGGGGACCCCGGAGAAGAGCCCCGGGGTCTTTCTCTCGGTCTGAACCGGGAAAGTGGCGCTCCGTATCGGGCTGCGGCTCAGTCGGTATCCGGAGCCGGAGCAACAGCAGCGGCAACGAGCGCAGGAGGCGGCTCTTGAGCTTTTGCAACCCGCCGCCTCTTCCTCCTCTTCCTCCTCCTCCTGCCGCCGCCTCCGCCTCGCATTGCAACGGCGCTGCAGCTGCAGGGCCCGCCCGAAAACGGGAACTTCCTGCCGGCCGCCCTTCCCCGGTCTCCGCCGGCTCTGGCTCGAGTCGGCTCCCCGAGCCGCCCCTTCCCCTCCGCCCGGCAAAGAGCCAGCAGCTGCCTCGGCACGCGCGCTTGCCGCAGCTGGAAGCTCTGTGTGTGTGTGTGTGTGTGTGTGTGTGGGAGGGGTGGGAGGGGAAGGGGTTTCCCCTTGCCCTCCCCCCCCCCAACCGCAGGGGTCGACCAGGGAGGGGAGGGGGTCCTGGACCAGAAGAGAGAGGAAGGGGAGGGAAGGTTCTGCGCTGATGCTGGGTTGCGCCCTTGGCGTGGGAAGGCTGGATTTTTTTTGGGGTGGGGGAGGGAATTGGGGGGGGGGAGATTGGGGAGGGGAGGGGGATCCTGGCAAAAGTGGGAGGGATGGTCAAGGGGGGCGCGTGGATCTTGGAAAAGGCAGAGCCTGCCTTCCTCTTTTTTCTTTCTTTCTTTCCTTCTTTATTCTTCCCTCTTCTCTATTCCTTCCTTCTTTCCTTTCCTTTCTCCCTTCCATTCTTCCATGTCTTTTGTCTTCCTTCCTCCTTTCCTTGCTTCCTTCTTTCCTCCCCACTCTCCCTCCCTGTTCCTTCTTTCCTTCCCTCCCTCCATCTCTTTTCCTTCCTTCCTTCCTTTTTCTTTTTTCCCCTCCCTTTTCTACCTTCCCTCTCGCCTTTCTCTATTCTTCCCTCTTCTCTATTCCTTTCTTCTTTCCTTCCTTCCCTTTCTCCTCTCTCCCTTCCATTCTTCCATGTCTTTTGTCTTCTTTCCTCCTTTCCTTGCTTCCGTTCTTCCTTGCTTCCACTCTCCCTCCCTATTCCTTCCTTCTTTCCTTCCCTCCCTCCATCTCTTTTCTTTCTTTCCTTCCTTTTTCTTTCTTTCTCTCCCTTCTCTACTCCTTCCCTCTCGCCCTTCTCTATTCTTCCCTCTTTTCTATTCCTTTCTTCTTTCCTTCCTTCCCTTTCTCCTCTCTCCCTTCCATTCTTCCATGTCTTTTGTCTTCCTTCCTCCTTTCCTTGCTTCCCTTCTTCCTTCCTCCCCACTCTCCCTCCCTATTCCTTCCTTCTTTCCTTCCCTTTCTCCCTTCCATTCTTCCATGTCTTTTTTCTTCCTTCCTCCTTTCCTTGCTTCCGTTCTTCCTTGCTTCCCACTCTCCCTCCCTATTCCTTTTTCCTTCCCTCCATCTCTTTTCCTTCCTTCCTTCCTTTTTCTTTCTTTCCCTTACCTTCTCTACTCCTTCCCTCTCGCCCTTCTCTATTCTTCCCTCTTCTCTATTCCTTTCTTCCCTTCCCTTCCTTCCCTTTCTCCTCTCTCCCTTCCATTCTTCCATGTCTTTTGTCTTCCTTCCTCCTTTCCTTGCTTCCCTTCTCCCTTCCTTCCTCCCCACTCTCCCTCCCTATTCCTTCCTTCTTTCCTTCCCTCCTCCATCTCTTTTCCTTCCTTCCTTCCTCTTTCTTTCCCTCCCTTCTCTACTCCTTCCCTCTCGCCCTTCTCTATTCTTGATAGTACAGTGGTCTAAGCACCCTGTTATTAACACAGCTACCTGAGTCCTTTGGGAGTAGGGCGGTATACAAATCGAATAAATAATAATAATAATAATAATAATAATAATAATAATAATAATAATAATAATAATAATAATAATAATATAAGCAGTCGCTCAATTTATATAAGACCCTAAACAGGAACCTACCGATTTAAGAGTATCAGAGTTGGACGGGACCTTGGAGGTCATCCAGTCCACCCCCTGCTCACCCAGGAGACCTATACTAGCGGCTCCCTAGGTGGCTCGGGGACTAAGACGCTGAGCTTGTCGATCAGAAAGATTGGCGGTTCGAATCCCTGTAGATCTCCTGTGTGAGCAATGGGGGTGGACTAGGTGACCTCCAAGGTCCCTTACTGTTACTTCGACCCTCCATTTAATACCCCAAAGGCGGAAAACAAAAATTTTAAACCACAATTTAATCGGCGTAGCCCGTTTCTCCGTCGCTGCTCTCGTCGTCCGAAACCAGATTGTCCGGATTGCAGGCAAAACAAGTTTTGCCGAGATCTTTCCAGCAAATCCGGCAGTAAACGGTCTCGCAGTCGGGATTCGAACACGTCAACGAATGGCGGGATTCGGTCCGGTTGCAAAGGATGCATCGCCGGATCAGGAACCGTTTCAAGAAGGGACACCAGTGTCCGATCTGGTTCAACAGCGGCTTTCTCTAAAAAAAAAAAAAAAAAAAAAAAAAAAAAGGAGACCGATGGGGGGGGGGCTTGGGGTTCTTTTTTTGGTTGAAATCCCCCAAAATTTTTCCACCAAAAATAAAAAAAAATAAATATTTGATATCATTGGAAGCCAATTTTCTTTGCAAGAAAAAAAATAAAATAGCGGCGATTTTGCTGAAAGCCGTCAAAAATAACATTTCCGGATTTCCATTTTGTAAAAAAAAAAAAAAAAAAAACAGGGCAGGGGGGAAATTGCTCGTTTTACGACCGCAATGGAGCCCTGTTGCTAAGCGAGACAGGTCTCAAGGGAGTTTGCCCCCCGTTTTACCGCAGTCGTTAAAGTGAATTGCGATTGTTAAGTTAGTCGCTTGGTTGTTAAGTGAATCAAAAGGGGATCAATAGACACACACACACCGGGGACACTGCCACCGTCGTAAGTATGAGTCATTTGCCTGGAAAGTGACCCAAGGGCTAAACTGGCCCGGAAAAGAAAATTGGGCAGGAAAATCGGCAACGGGTGTCAAATCAACCAGATTTGGGCATCGATGCCAAAATGTTTGGTGTGGGCCACGAAACCGACCCTGCGGGGACCGAAGGAGGGAGACACCCATCCGTCCCGGGGCTGGGGCTGCCCTGAGGGTGGAGTACCCCGAAGGAGAAAGGAAGGGGGGAAAAAATACCCCCCCCGCCTGCCAGCGAATAGGGCGGGGTTGGGAGTTCGAATGCCGCTCCGTTGCTGGAAGCCGAGCTCCACGTGCCAAAAATATTTGCAGAAGCAGAAATTCATCCGGAAATAACTCGGCGGAAGGTCAACAGGTCTGGCTTGGCGTCAATCCGGGGCTGTTTGACAGAGGGCAGGAAGTCCTCGGCTTACGGCCATAAGGGAGCCCCACGTTTCCGTGGCTTAGTGAGTTGCTTGGTCAGGTTTTTGTTCCGTTTTGACGACCGTTCTCGTCCCCCGTCGTTAAAGTGAATCACAGCACTTGGTAAAAGTTAGTCCGACGGTTGTTAAGTCAATATAGCGTGTGTCCCCCTCTCTCCCCCGCCCCCCCGTGGTGACTTTGCTCATCGCCAAAAGGGGATCACGGGGGGACTCCTGCGACCGTCATAAATACGAGTCAGCGGCAGAGCGTCTGAATTTGGACTCTGTGACCGCGGAAACAACTACAACGGTCGTTAAGTGTGAAAAACGGCTCTAGCTCGCTTTTTTCCAGAGCCGTTGTAACTTCAAACGGTCACTAAATGAATCATCGTAAGTCGAGGACTACCTGATAGGTGGTCCTCGACCTACGACCGCAGTTGAGTCCCAAAATTTCTGTGACTACGGGAGAGAATTAAGTGAATTCTGCCCCGTTTTACGACCTTCCTTGCCAGAATTGTTGAGTGAATCACTTTTTTTTTTTAACAAAAAAAGGATATTTCTTCTCGGGACGATTTCTTCACCTGGCCTACCTCGCAGGGCCGGCACGCTCGGGTTTACTCACCACTCTCTTGCGCCTCCGAGCTCGCAAAATGATGCGTTTGCGTTGCACAATCACGAAAGCCATGCGCTGACGCAACATCTCGTTGTAGAGGTAGATAATTCGCTTCTTCTCGCGCTGTCAGGATGGGAGAAAAACACGGATCAAATCTAGGGCAGGGGATCCTGGGAGTTGTAGTCCACCCATGCTGGCTGGGGATTCTGGGAGTTCTAGTTCACCTGTTCAGACTGGGAGATTTGGGGAATTGTAGTCCACCCGGGCTGGCTGGGGGATTTGGGGAGTTCTAGTCCACCATTTGCTGACTGGGGATTCTGGGAGTTCTAGTTCACCTGTTCAGACTGGGAGATTTGGGAATCGTAGTCCACCCGTGCTGACTAAGGATTCTGGGAGTTGAAATCTACAGTACCAATGTTAGCTGGGAGACTCTGGGAGTTCTAGTTCACCCATGCTGGCTGGGGGATTCTGGGAGTTCTAGTTCACCTGTTCAGACTGGGGGATTTGGAGAATTATAGTCCACCCAGGCTGGCTGGGGGATTCTGGGAGTTCTAGTCCATCCATGCTGGTTAGGGGATTCTGGGATTTCTAGTCCACCTGGGCTGGCTGGGAGATTCTGGGAGTTCTAGTACACCATTGACTGGGGCATTCTGGGAGTTCTAGTCCATCCATGCTGACTAGGAGATTTGGGGAATTATAGTCCACTCATGCTGACTGGGGGATTCTGGGAGTTGAAATCTACAGTACAAATGTTAGCTGGGAGACTCTGGGAGTTCTAGTTCACCCATGCTGGCTGGGGAATTCTGGGAGTTGTAGTCCACCTGTGCTGGTTGCAAGGTTCTGGGAATTGTAGTCCACCCATGCTGGCTGGGAGATTTGGGAGTCGTAGTCTATCCATGCCGGCTAAGGGTTTTGGGGAGTTGTAGTTCCACCATGCTAGCTGGGGGATTCTGGAGTTGTAGTCCACCCATACTAGCTAGGGGATTCTGGGAGTTGTAGTGCATTCACACTGGGTGGGAGATTCTGGGAGTTGTAGTCCACCCGTACTGGTGAAACGGGGGCTTATGGGAGTTGAACTCTGCCCCCTCTTATAGCTCAACGACATACAGACGCCAATGGACGTAAATTTTGCAACCCTCAATTCTCACCCCCAATTTTGCACCCAGCACCCCGTCATTCGGCCTGTCCGCTCCAGTCGTGCCCTTCCCCCCCCTTTTTGGGGGGGGCTTGGAGGGGCAAACCTGGGCGGGCGACCCCGATCTATTCACCACCTCCCACCTTGGGGAAATAGAAGGCGGCGATGACCCTCCGGAGACGGAAGACGTAGACTTGCAGGAAACATAGCATCACCAGGGCGCCTAGCGGGATGGCGGTCTTGGCGTACTCATCCTGGCTCATCCCACGCGGTTCTGGCAGACACTCTGGGGAGGGTAGAAGCACAAAGGGGGGGGGTCTGGGGTCCCGGCCGGGCAGAGGAATTCAAACTAGAACCTGCCAATCATAGTCAGCCAAACATGGTTTGTTTCTCAATCTTGGCTGTTTTAAGAAGGGTGGACTTCAACTCCCAGAATTCCTCCAGCTCGCGTAGGAGTTGGAATCCTCCCGTGCTGGCTGAGGGATTCTGGGAGTTGGAGTTCTCATATGCTGGCTGGGGGATTCTGGGTGTTGGAGTTCTCATATTCTGGCTGAAGGATTCTGGGAGTTGGAGTTCTCATATTCTGGCTGGGGGATTCTGGGTGTTGGAGTCCTCATATTCTGGCTGGGGATTCTGGGAGTTGGAGTCCTCCCATGCTGGCTGAGGGATTCTGGGAGTTGGAGTTCTCATATTCTGGCTGGGGATTCTGGGAGTTGGAGTTCTCATATTCTGGCTGGGGGATTCTGGGAGTTGGAGTCCTCATATGCTGGCTGAGGGATTCTGGAGTTGGAGTCCATCAGCCGAGGCTCAGGGGAGGGGCGGGGGGGTGGCGGTTATTATTAACGAGGATCTGGGTCCGAGGGAGACCACTGTGCCTCAGATAGCCGGATGTGAGTCCCTCCTTGTGAGGTGGGGCCGTGGGGTTCAGATGGGCTTGTTGCTTACGTACCTGGCTCCCTGCCGCGTGGCAACAGCCCTACCTGAGCTACTCGACGTGATAGCCACGGTGGCAGTAGATACACCCAGGCTTTTAGTCGTGGGTGATTTCAACTTGCCATCCGTCGGTGAAACGTCTGAGGTGGCTCGGGAGTTCATGGCTTCCATGACGGCCATGGACCTGACCCAATTAGTTCATGGCCCTACTCACAGGGAGGTCACACTCTGGATCTGATTTTTGTCTCTGGCCAGTGGTTGAGTGGTCTTGTTATAGGGGATATAGACATGGAACCCTTGTCATGGTCTGACCACTCACTCCTTCGCCTAGATCTTCGAACCGCGACCCCTCGCCGCAGGGAGGTGGATCCAATTAGATGGATCCGCCCCAGGCGCCTGATGGATCCTGATAGGTTCCAGACGGAGCTTGGGCCATTTCCTGAGGATCTAGCACATGACTCGGCCGAGGACCTGGTAGCCGCCTGGGATCGGGCGGCTGGTGGGGCCTTGGACCGAGTTGTGCCTTTGCGGCCTCTGACCCGATGCCGATCCCGTGCGGCTCCTTGGTTTACTGAGGAGCTGAGGGAAATGAAGCGCCGGAAAAGACGCCTGGAGAGCGGTTGGAGGGCAAGTCTCGCTGAATCTGATCGAACACTGGTAAGGTCGCATATTAAGGCCTACCTAGTGGCGATAGAGACGGCAAAGTCTAACTACTTTTCCGCCTCTATTGCGTCATCAGGGAATCGTCCGGCTGCCCTGTTTAGGGTGACCCGCGCCCTGCTCCATCCAGGAGTGCGGGAGGATCCCTTAGAAGGCAGGGCGGAGGATTTCGGACAATACCTGTATGACAAAATCGCCCAGATCCGGGGGGATTTGGACTCTGACTGGGTAGATCAGGGCAGGGTGACGAGGAATAGTCTTGAGAATGTTATCTGGGAGGAGTTTGATGCCGTGACTCCTGATGATGTGGACAGGATTTGGGGAGACTTAGTGCGGCCACATGTTTACTGGACCCGTGTCCCTCCTGGTTGGTACTGGCTTCCCGGGAGGTTACACGAGGCTGGCTTCAGGGTGTTATCAACGCTTCGTTGAGTGAGGGTTACTTCCCCACCGCCTTGAAAGAGGCGGTGGTGAGGCCTCTCCTCAAGAAGCCGTCCCTGGATCCGGCAATATTGGCCAACTATCGTCCTGTCTCCAACCTTCGCTTTATGGCGAAGGTTGTTGAGAGTGTGGTCGCACGACAGTTTCCGCAATTCCTGGAGGAAACATCTTATCTAGATCCGTTCCAGTCGGGTTTCAGGTCTGGGTACAGCACAGAAACGGCATTGGTCGCGTTGGTTGATGATCTCTGGAGGCTCGGGACAGGGGTTGTTCCTCTGTTCTGGTCCTGTTAGACCTCTCAGCGGCTTTTGATACCATCGACCATGGTATCATGCTGCACCGGCTGGAAGAGTTGGGGGTGGGAGGCACCGTGTTGCGGTGGTTCTCCTCCTTTCTCTCCGACCGGTCGCAGTTTGTGTTGGCAGGGGGGCAGAGGTCGACCTCGAGGCCTCTCATTTGTGGAGTGCCGCAGGGATCGGTCCTCTCGCCCCTTCTGTTCAACATTTATGTGAAGCCGCTGGGTGAGATCATCCGTGGCTTTGGGGTGAGATACCACCAGTACGCTGATGACACCCAGCTGTACATCTCCACCCCAGGCCACCCCAACGATGCCCTTGAAGTGATGTCCCAGTGCCTGGAGGCTGTACGGGTCTGGATGGGGAGGAACAGGCTCAGGCTCAACCCTTCCAAGACTGAGTGGCTGTGGCTCCCGGCATCCCGATATAGTCAGTTGACTCCATCACTGACTATTGGGGGCGAGTCATTGGCCCCCACAGAGAGGGCTCGCAATCTGGGAGTCCTCCTGGATATGCAGCTGTCCTTGGAGGAACATCTGACGGCTGTAACCAGGGGGACCTTTTGTCAGGTTCGCCTGATTCGCCAGTTGCGGCCCTTTCTTGATCGGGATTCCCTGTGCACAGTCACTCATGCCCTCGTCACCTCTCGCCTTGACTACTGCAACGCTCTCTACATGGGCTCCCCTTGAGGAGCACCGGAGGCTCCAGCTGGTCCAGAACGCAGCAGCGCGGGTAGTGACGGGAGCAGCATGGCGCTCCCATGTAACACCGCTCCTGCGCGAGCTGCACTGGCTCCCAGTTGTCTTCCGGGTGCGCTTCAAGGTGTTGGTTATCACCTTTAAAGCGCTCCATGGCATAGGGCCTAGCTATCTCCGAGACCGCCTGCTGCTACCAACGACCTCCCAGCGACCCGTGCGCTCCCACAGAGAGGGCCTCCTCGGGGTGCCATCAGCCAGTGCAGGCTGGTGACCCCCAGGGGGAGGGCCTTCTCTGTGGGGGCTCCTACCCTCTGGAATCAGTTGCCCCCAGAGATAAGGAGAATCCAAGACCTCAGTGCCTTCCGTCGCGCCCTTAAAACCCATTTATTTAAACAAGCCGGGCTGGCTTAAGATGAAATTTTTAACTGTTTTTAAATGTTTTAAACGTTTTTAATTGGTAAATGAGTTTTAATTGGGCCAAATTTATATATCTTTTAATTGTTTTTAATATTTGTTCTGCATGTTTTTTTAATCTGGCTGTACACCGCCCTGAGTCCTTAGGGAGAAGGGCGGTATAGAAATCCAATATAAAATAAAATAAATAAAAAATATGCTGGCTGGGGGATTCTGGGAGTTGGAGTTCTCATATTCTGGCTGAGGAATTCTGGGAGTTGGAGTTCTCATATTCTGGCTGAGGGATTCTGGGAGTTGGAGTTCTCATATTCTGGCTGGGGGATTCTGGGTGTTGGAGTCCTCATATGCTGGCTGAAGGATTCTGGGATTTGGAGTTCTCATATGCTGGCTGAGGGATTCTGGAGTTAGAGTCCACCCATGCTGGCTGGGGGATTCTGGGAGTTGGAGTCCTCTCATTCTGGCCTGGGAATTTGGGGAATTGAAACTGCCCATGTTGGTGGGGGATTCTGGGTGTTGGAGTCCTCCCAAGCTGACTGGGGAGTTCTGGCAACTGAAGCCCATCCATCTCAAAAATGCCACCTTTGCTGTAGAGCCTCCAGCAGCAGAGGAAGTCTAGCAGCAAAATGCAGGGATAAAAACAGCGGTCTATAAACCCACCCTCGAAAACACCTGATTGGCTGAACAGAAGCCGTCCCCTTCCCCGCTCTGGGGCCAGGTGACCCCCCCCCCCCCCCCCCTACGCAGGTTGTTGGTCTCCATCTCCATTTCGGAGGACGTGTTCAGGGCCCCGATGGTGCTCCGGAGGAGACGAGCCATCATGGTTTGTCCGCCAACTTTGACTTCCAAGTGGTGGCTGCCTGCGTGGAAGGCAGGGGAAGGTTTGGTTAAGCCAGCTTTGGTTAAACCAGGGTTTCTCCGCCTGGCCTCCAAGTCATCCCTAGGGTTGAGTGGAGGCGGGTGGGATTTGAATTCGGGTCTCCCAGTCTGGCACTTTCCAACACTGGAAGGTTTTCAAGAAGAGACTGAAGGGGGTTGGACTAGAAGACCTCTGATGACCCTCCCAACTCTGTTATTCTGCTTTTCTTTCTTTCTTTCTTTCTTTCTTTCTTTCTTTCTTTCTTTCTTTTTCCTTCCTTCCCTCCCTCCCTCCCTCCTAGGGGATTGGATTAGAGGTCCCAATTCTGCTAATCTGCTATTCTTCCTTCTTTTCACCCTCCCTCCTCTGTCTCCTTCCTTCCTTCCTTCCTTCCTTCCTCCTTCCTTCCTTCCTTAGTCCTTTCCTTCCTTCTTTCCTTAGTCTGTTCCTTCCTTCCTTCTTTCCTCCCTCCCTCCCATCATTTTTCCTTCCTTCCTTAGTCCTTTCCTTCCTTCCTTCCTTCCTTCCTTCCTCCTTCCTTCTTCCTTCTTTCTTTCCTTCCTTCCTTTTCCTCCCTCCCTCCCATTTTTCCTCCCTCCTTCCTTCCCATTCTTTCTTTCTTCCTTCCTTCCTCCCTCCCATCATTTTTCCTTCCTTCCTTCCTTAGTCCTTTCCTTCCTTCTTTCCTTAGTCCGTTCCTTCCTTCCTTCCTTCTTTCCTCCCTCCCTCCCATCATTTTTCCTTCCTTCCTTCCTTCCTTCCTTCCTTCCTTCCTTCCTTCCTTCCTTCCTTCCTTCCTTCTTTCCTTCCTTCCAGGGGCTTTCAACAAGAAACTGGACAATAATTTGTCTGAAACGGTCAAAGATTTCCTGCCCGGGCATGTGGCTGGACTAAATGACCTCCGAGGTCCCTCCCAACCGTTCTACCTTCCCCACTGATCTCAATTCATTGCATTAAACGAATCGTCCTTGGGTGTGAGTTCGATTTCTCCTCTGCCCAAGGACTGAGGGCTGGGCCATTGGAGGGGGGCGGAAGGGCGGGGGGGGGGGTGAGAAGAGGGGAACCGGCTGCCCTTCCGGACCAGGGTGCGGATTCATCCAAGGAGGGTGGGGCAGGGGTCAGAGGTCGGCACTCACTGCGGAAGGAATACTGAATGAAGGAATGATTTCGGATGGTGCTGAAGATGGTGAAGAGCAGGGAGTCCAGGGCACACGCCATCAGCAGGAAGACCAGGGGGGGCAGGCAGCCCAGTAGCTCCAGGAACTGGGGAGGGGGTGAGTGGGTTGGAAAGAGCAGAGAAGAAAGGGAAGAGAGAGAGAAAGAGGGAGGAATGGAAGGACAGGGAAGGAGGCAAGGAAGGAAGGAAGGGGGAAAAAATAGGGAGGAACAAGTGAAGAGGAGGAAGAAAGAAAGGAAAAAGTAAAGGGAGGGAGGAAAAGACAAAGAGAAAAGGAGGGAAAGGAGGGAGGAAAGGAAGGGAGGAAAGGATAGGAGGAAAAATAAAAGAGGAAAGAAGGGAAAAATAAAAGTGAGTGAGTGAGGAAGGAAGGAACGAGAGGGAAGAAGGCAAAGAGAAAAGAGAAAAGAGGAGGATGGGAAGAAAAGTAAAGGTAAGGGAGGGAGGAAGGAAGGAGGGAGGAAATAATAGGAGGAACAAGTGAAAAGGAGGAAGAAAGAAAGGAAAAAGTAAAGGGAGGGAGGGAGGGAAAGACAAAGAGAAAAGGGTGGAAAGGAGGGAGGAAAGGAAGGAAGGAAAGGATAGGAGGAAAAATAAAAGAGGAAAGAAGGGAAAAATAAAGTGAGTGAGTAAGGAAGGAATGAGAGGAAAGAAGGCAAAGAGGAAAAGAGAAAAGAGGATGGAAAGAAAAAGTAAATGGAAGGACAGGGAAGGAAGAAAGGAAGGAGGAAATAATAGAAGAACAAGTGAAAAGGAGGAAGAAAGAAAGGAAAAAGTAAAGGGAGGGAAGGAGGGAGGAATGGAAGGACAGGGAAGGGGGGAAGGAGGAAAAATAGAAGGAACAAGCAAAAAGGAGGAAAGAAAGGAAAAAGGAAAGGGAGGGAGGGAGGAAGGAAGGAAAAAAGAGAAGGAAGGAAAGGAAACGAGAAAAAGGAAAGGATAGGAGGAAAAGTAAAAGGAAGAAGGAAAGAAGGGAAAAATAAAGGGAGTGAGTCAGGAAGGAATGAGAGGGAAGAGGATGGAAGGGAAAGAAGAAAGTGGATGGAAAGAAAAAGTAAAGCGAAGGGAGGAAGGAGGAAGGAAGGAAGGAAAGGAAACGAGAAAAAGGAAAGGATAGGAGGAAAAGTAAACGGAAGAAAGAAAGAAGGGAAAAATAAAGGGAGTGAGTAAGGAAGGAATGAGAGGGAAGAAGGGAAAGAGGAAAGTGGATGGAAAGAAAAAGTACAGCGAAGGGAGGAAGGAGGAAGGAAGGAAGGAAGGAAAAGAGAAAGGAAAGGATGGAAGAAAGAAGTAAAGGGGAGGGAGGAAGGAAGGAGAATGGATGTAATGCAGGGAGTGAGGGAGGGAAGGAAGGAAGGAAGGAAGGAAGGAAGGAAGGAAGGAAGGAAGGAAGGAAAGAAGGATGGGAGGGGATGAATAGTCAGCTGAGATCTGAAATTATGAACACTGAGAATGAATGCAGAGGGCGATCTCTGGCCTTTGCTCTCACCCATAGGGTCCTCAGGGACCACCCCCCCACCCCCTTCCCCCTTGCCCTCCCCACCTCCCCCCACCTCCCCCCACCTCCCTGTGCCCCCCTCCCGCTGGCACTAACCACACTCTTGGTCTCCGCTGGCTGGAAGGCCAGGCGCAGGGGGTCGATGATCCGGCTCTCCTCCGCACGGCGCAGGGGCAGAAGAGTCCGCTTTCTCTGCACATTTGGGGGCGGGGGGGAGGGGGGAAAGGGGACACAGAGCCCCCCCTGAAGCTGAACTACCAAACTACAAAAACTCTTTTCTGCCGCCAGCCTTTTTTTTTGCATCGGAGACTTCAAGATAGACTGCTGCTGATGCTGGAGGTTCCATTAGAGGGATGGACGCGATCCCTCCCAACAAACCCACATGCACAGGTTTCTGGGACCCTTGGCCCACCTCTCTAATGTCTCCCCCTCGCCAACCCCCCCACTCCACCCCCCCCAGCCTCATTCACCTGCTTGCGGCGTCTTGCGTCAATCTGCCGGAAGTAACGGGAGACATAGAGGTTATCGAAACGGATGTCTTCGTTGTATTTGTTGGTGTAGGAATAAGCCCTGGGAAAGAGAAGGAGGGACGTGCGGAAACTTCTCTCAGCAAAGGGAAAGAAAGAAAGAAAGAAAGAAAGAAAGAAAGAAAGAAAGAAAGAAAGAAAGAAAGAAAGAAAGAAAGAAAGAAAGAGGAAGGAAGGAAGGAAGGAAGGAAGGAAGGAAGGAAGGAGGAAGAAGAAAGTAGGAAAGAAAGAAGGAAGGAAAAGGAAAGAAGGAAGAAAAAAGGAAGGAAGGAAGAAAGAAGCAGGGAAGAAAGAAAGAAGAAAAAGAAAAAAGGAAGGAAAGAAGGAAGAAAAGAGAAAGAAAGAAGGAAGAAAGAAGGAAATAAAGAAGGAAGGAAGAAGAAAGAAAGAAGAAAGAAAGAAAGAAAAGAAAAAGAAAGGAAAGGAAGGAAGGAAGGAAAGAGAAAGAAGAAAGAAAGAAGAATGAAGAACGAAGAAAGAAGAAAGGAAGAAAAAAGGAAGGAAAGAGGGAAGAAAAGAGAAAGAAAGAAGGAAGGAAGGAAGAAAAAAAAGGAAGGAAGGAAGAAAAGAAGGAAGGACAGGGAAGCAAGCAAGCAAGGAGGGAGGGGAGGGAGGAAGGAGGGACGAAGGAAGGAAGGAAATAAAGGGAGGGGAATGAGGGAGGTGAAGGAGGGAGGGATGGAGGAAGGAAGGAAGGAAGGAAGAGAAAGAAAGATAGATAGATGTAGATAGATAAAGAGAGAGACAAAAATAAATAGATAGATGATAGAGAGACAAAAATACATAAATAGAGACGAGAGAGAGAGAGAGAAATAGATAGATAGATAGATGATAGAGAGACAAAAAATAAGATAAAGAGAGGGAGAGAGAAATAGATGATAGATAGATAGATAGATATGGAGAGAGAGAAATAGATGATAGATAGATAGATAGATAGATAGATAGATAGATAGATAGATAGATGAGAGAGAGAGAAATAGATGATAGATAGATAAAGAGAGAGAGATAGATAGAGAGATAGATAGAGAGAGAGAGAGAGAGAGAGAGAGAGAGAGAGAGAGAAAAAATAGATAGATAGATAGATAGATAGATAGATAGATAAATGATAGAGAGACAAAAATAAGATAAAGAGAGACAAGAGAGAAATAGATAGATAGATAGATAGATAGATAGAGAGACAAAAATAAGATAAAGAGAGAGAGAGAGAAATAGATGATAGATAGATAGATACATAGATAGATGATAGAGAGACAAAAAATAAGATAAAGAGAGGGAGAGAGAAATAGATGATAGATAGATAGATAGATAGAGAGAGAGAGGAGAGGAGAGAGAGAGAGAGAGATAGATGATAGAGAGACAAAAATAGATAAATAGAGACAAGAGAGAAATAGATAGATAGATAGATAGATAGATAGATAGATGATAGAGAGACAAAAATAAGATAAAGAGAGAGAGAGAGAGAGAGAGGGAGAGAGAGAGGGAGAGAATGGAGGTCAGAGCCCCCTACCCTTCGCCCACCCTTCCACTCACGAGGCGAAAACCAGGAGGAACATGCAGGAGAGGAGAGCCCGGGTGAGGGTGAGGGCCGTGCCCAGCTCTTTGCCACTCTGGTAGAGCTGCTCGTTGACGTTGTCCACCAGGTGTTTGTGGGAAGACAGGTTCGCCCCCACCAGCATCTCTTGCTGCTCTTCCTGGGGGGGGGGGCGGGGAGAAGGAAAACGGAGGGAGGGTCGTAAGTGTGAAACACAGTCCTTTTTGGACGGTCACTAAACAAACAGTCGTAAGTCCACGACTGCCTGTCTGTTGCCCTTTTCCCCCCCACCACCACCCCGAACGAGATACACCACGAATTGCTCAGACCAGGTTCAACAAACCTTGATCGATCCGACAGACCTGGATGACAACGCTGGCTGTGAAATCTTGGTTTAAATTGTCCACCGAGCCGTTCACCCGGTCGTACGTTTGCCCAAAGTTGCCTTCCACGGGGATCTTGTCCCGGCACCACGTGTTCATCACTGCAGGAGAGAGAGAGAAAGGAGGGAGGGGAATGACGAGATCGAGCAAGCGAGCCAGGTTGCAAATATATATATATATATTTTTCCAAGGGAGGGAGGGAGGGAAGGAGGGGAGTCTGGGTAAGACTGTACCGCTTGCCAGGATGGCTTCACGCCCGTTTCCAAGGTCCTTGCAGGTGGAAAGCTAGGGAAGGAATTCCCGACGAGTGGTTTTTCCTCGCAAAAGCTAGCTTTCTAGCTGCGGGGAAGTCACTCGCCTTTGGCCAAATGGCAAAGGAAGCTGAATTTCATGGGGATGCAGAGCAGGTGGTTGACCAGGGGCACGGCGATCGTCTTCATGCAAGACTGATGTTTGGTCTGGAACCAGGTTTGACAACGCTTGACCGCCTGCTGGATGATACCTGCAAGGAAGGAGGAATCCCCCACATTTTCCCCAAGAGTTTGAGGGTTCAAATCTCCCCAAGCGAAGGAAGTTTGGAAAACCCATTCCCTTCTAGTCCAGCTTCAGGCACGAAAGCCGGCTGGGTGACTTTGGGCCAATCACCAGGAGACGGGGAGTTCTAGTCCCATCATTGGCATGAAAACCAGGAGACTTTGAGCCAATAACCAGGAGATGGTGAGTTCTAGTCTCATTTTAGGCATGAAAGCCAGCTGGGTGACTTTGGGCCAATCACCAGGAGACGGTGAGTTCTAGTCCTACCTTAGGCCTGAAAGCCAGGTGACTTTGGGCCAATCACCAGGAGACAGTGAGTTCTAGTCCCACCTTAGACCTGAAAACCAGGTGACTTTGGGCAACAATCACCAGGAGATGGTGAGTTCTAGTCCCACCTTAGACCTGAAAACTAGGTGACTTTGGGCCAATCACCAGGAGACGGTGAGTTCTAGTCCCGCCATAGGCATGAAAACCAGGTGACTTTGGGCCAATCACCAGGAGACGGGGAGTTCTAGTCCCACCTTAGGCCTGAAAACCAGGTGACTTTGGCCCAATTACCAGGAGACAGTGAGTTCTAGTCTCACCTTAGACATAAAAGCCAGTTGACTTTGGGCCAATCACCAGGAGACAGTGAGTTCTAGTCCTATCTTAGACCTGAAAACCAGGTGACTTTGGGCCAATCACCAGGAGACAGTGAGTTCTAGTCCCACCTTAGGCCTGAAAACCAGGTGACTTTGGAACAATCACCAGGAGACGGTGAGTTCTAGTCCTGCCATAGGCATGAAAGCCAGCTGGATGACTTTGAGCCAATCACCAGGAGACGGTGAGTTCTAGTTTCACCTTAGACATGAAAGTCAGGTGACTTTGGGCCAATCACCAGGAGACGGTGAGCCGGCTAAGGAATTCTGGGAGTTGAGTCTTAAAGCTGCCCATATTTAGACATGCCAGCTCTGGGGGTTTGAAATCTCAGCCGAAACGTCTTACTTTTGCAACGCATCCGCGTCTTCGCCTCGTAGACGTCCTGCGTCGAGGCGCTCCCTTCGGCTTCGCGCACCAATCGGCTCTCCGTGCCGGCTCGGCTCGCCACTTGCTTGTTCAGCTCCGTGAAGGAGCGTGAGATATTTTGGGACTCGCTTCTCAAAGTCTTCCCACTTCTCTGCGTTGGAAAACAGCCGTGAGGGCCCTGGCGAGCCGAGTAACTTCATGAGGACTAGAAACCTACGCTGGGAAGATCTTTCTCCACGCGTTGCCTCTTCGCACGACCGGCTTTGGACACAGCAGCCAATTTATTTAATATTTTTAAAATTATTTTAAATTGATGTTTATCTTGTTTTTAAATAGGCTGTACACCGCCCTGAGTCCTTCGGGAGAAGGGCGGAATAGAAATAAAATTATTATTATTATTATTATTATTATTATTATTATTATTATTATTATTATTATTATTATTGTTGTTGTTGTTGTTGTTGTTGTTGTTGTTGTTGTTGTTGTTGTTGTTATTATTATCGTCTAAAACCCGTGTTTCTTAACCTTGGCAAAACTTTAAGATGGGTGGACCTCAATTCCCAGAATTCCCCTGTCGGCGTGGTGGCTGGGGGATTCTGGGAGTTGAAGTCCACTCATCTTAAAGTTGCTAAGGTTGAAATAACATGTTAAATCATGCAGATATAAAGGAAGTATACTCGGCCCACCGAGAATGCTGGGCAGATAATAATCAAAAATCAGGATGTTAATTCTTTAATGTGCCCTTTTACCATAAAAAGGGAAATTGGTACTGGATTTTATTTAATTCAGGCTACAATGCATTAAAATGAGCCTCCAAACAGTATTTTAATAGCAGATGGAACTCCAAAACCCATAACAGGCAGCTAAATTGGCACCAATGGATTTACTATTTACTATTTACTATTTATTTTATTTTATTTATTTATTTATTTATTTTTATATGCCGCCCTTCTCCGGAGACTCAGGGCGGCTTACAATGCGTTAAGCAATAATACTATTATTTATTATTGAGGAGGTTGGACTAGATGACCTACAAGGTCCCTTCCTCAAATCTAATCTACTACATCATTTTGAAATTTAAAGATGAGCCGCAAGTTACGGAAATGGCATTAAAACTCTTTCGTGGAATTACAATTCTCCTCCGGCCTTTTAATAAACCGCCCCTCAAGAGGACTAGCCCCTTGGCAAGCCTCCACGCCGTGTGATTCTCACCACCATGTCTTTGAGGATTTTCCGCATCGGCGCCAAGGAAATTTTCCATGCTTTTTTGGAGTTTTCAATCTGTAATTCCACCGTGCAGCTGATGGATCGCACCACTTCCCCGAGATTGTGCCGAATATTTGCCACCGGGCCTGCCAAGGGGGACAGAGAAAAAGAAGACGATAGAGTAGGGGGGACCATAGGTTCCAAATTTTCCAAGTTGAGGGACAGAAAAGGCGCTAGTCCACATTGGCAATTGAAGCTGAAAAGGGAAGGAAAAAAAATTTGCAGCCACTCTATTTTCAAAAGTGAGGAAATGCTGCCCTCCGGTGGCTGAGCGTGGAACTATCTCCCTCCCAAAAATACAATATTAAAACATCCCAAAGGGGGAGTTTAATGCTGCCCTCTAGTGGCTCGATGCGGCAATCGCAGCTTAAAGAGAACGCTCATAAAAATATTGCATGTTATAATATTCTTTTTTTAGAACTGAGTGTCTCTCTCTATTTATATCTGACGTTTGCATAGAGGGGTACAATTTCAGAGGGCAATTGCAGGATAAACGGCCTTCGGCGTTTAATGTGGAAATTTTCCTCCTTGGTTTTTTTTTCCCCTTTTAAAATCTTTTCCCCCCGTTTAGGAAACAGAAGGATAGAAAGAGAAAAAGAAAAGAAAAATGAATGTATAAAATAGACTTCGCAATTCTGATCAGTTTCTGGGCAGCAAATCCATCTTAAAGAAAGTCTGTTTCCATCATTTAAGAATCAAGCTGGGTGACTTCGGGCCAATCGCCAGGAGACTGGGAGTTTTTAGTCCCGCCTTAGGCATGAAAGGCAGCTGGGTGACTTTGGGCCAATCACCAGGAGACTGGGAGTTTAGTCCCGCCTTAGGCATGAAAGGCAGCTGGGTGACTTTGGGCCAATCACCAGGAGACTGGGAGTTCTAGTCCTGCCTTAGGCATGAAAGCCAGCTGGGTGACTTTGGGCCAATCACCAGGAGACGGTGAGTTCTAGTCCTGCCTTAGGCATGAAAGCCAGCTGGGTGACTTTGGGCCAATCACCAGGAGATGGTGAGTTCTAGTCCCACCTTAGACATGAAAGCCAGCTGGGGTGACTTTGGGCCAATCACCAAGAGACTGGGAGTTCTAGTCCCACTTTAGGCATGAAAGCCAGCTGGGAGACTTTGGGCCAATCACCAGGAGACTGGGAGTTCTAGGATTATTGTAGGAGGGGGAAAATAGGAGGAGGAAGGAGAGTTAGATATGTTTGTAGCTTTTGAGCTAGTTAAAAAAACCCCACAAAGGCAGGATATCGTCCCGTAAAGTGAATAAAAATCTCGGTACCGTCGTAGACAGTGGCTAACATGTACGTGAGAATATAAAGCCGTCCTTCCTTTCCCAGGAATTTGGGAACCACCAAGAGGCTGGCGCAACGGAATTGCGGAGAGACGCCCCATCCGACGGCCGCCACGCCTGGAGAAAAGAGGGCACAACCTGTCAGAACCTTGCCGGATGGCACCCCTGGTTTGCCCAGAATATCTGGTAGAATAGATAGGAAAACGGTTCTAATAAAAGAAGTGTGGAAAGAAAGAAGAGGAAGGGGGAACAAAACGCATTTCCAGCCTCTGGAGAGCCTCCGGGAAGTTGGGGAAGGCAGTTTTTGCCCTCCCCAGGCGCCAAGAAAATCTCAGGCGCCTGGGGAGGGCAAAAAACAGACCTACCGTGCCATCCCGTGCCAAAAGTGGGGGGAAGCACAGACGGTGGGGTGCATTGAATTATGAATGTGGGCATGCATGCGCATAACCCCCCCCAAACACACACTACCCCCGCTTTTGGCACGCGATGGCCAAAAGGTTAGCCATCACTGGACTAGATGATCTCCAAGGTCCAACTCTGTTAATCTGGCGAGGAGGGAGTGAGGAAAACTTCCCCCCTATTTTTTTTCTCTCTCTGCTGGGATCTTGCTTTCTCTTCCAAAGCCAATTCTTACCTGCCATGCCAGCCAACAATTCGATTTTCGTCTGTTCCCGGATGGTCATGGGAAAAATCAGGATTTTGGCAAGACCTGGGGAACCAAGAATTCTAGATTTTAAGAAAGATCCTTGAAGGGGGGGGCGGGAGAGAAAGGCAGCAGGTGTCTGATTTTATTCCCCTGCTCCCACCCCCAGCAGCCTCAAAAATGATTCTTTTCCAAGCCAGATTCTCGGGGTTTTCTTTAACAAGATTTATTGAGAATTCCAGCAATTGAGCGATAGATTCGACTGTTTTCTATATAGGCATCAAACTGGGTTTTTTTTTTTTTTTCTTGGTGCGTGTGTATTTTCTCTCCCGGCTCGCCACGGGTTCTGGGACTTACTCAACGCAAATAATATCCCGAGTCCAGCCCCGAGAAAAAACTTGGTAGGTCGAAATTCGTCAGGTTCACTCCACAGGAAGGAAATGAAGATTTGGGGTAAGAAAGAACTCAGGAAGCGCTTCAGGGCTGAGCAGAAGGGGGGGAAATGACACTGTCAGAAGGCAGATTTAAAACAGTATTTAAAAGTTATCCGGATTTTCTTTACATTGGAGATTAGATGCATATTTGAGCAGGGTATGGAATGCATTTAATTCTATCTATCTATCTATCTATCTATCTATCTATCTATCTATCTATCTATCTATCTATCTTCTAACTATCTATCATCTTTCTCTATCATCTCTCATCTATATCTATATCTATTATATCTTTACAAACTATTCTAAAAATATGAATTCCAGGTATACTTATAAAGAAAGAAACAGACATTCTGCAAACTCCAGAACTAAAATAATTAAAATTTTATTCTGCTAAGCTTTCGTCAGCCTTCTGCTGACATGGTCAGAATATTAAACTACCATTACAGGGATCTATATCTATATCTATATCTATATCTATATCTATATCTATATCTATATATAGATATATATATCATCTATCATTTCTCTCTCATCTCTCTCTCTCATCTCTCTCTATCTATATCTATCTCTATCTCTCCCATCTCTCTCTCTCTCTCAATCATCTATATTTATATCTATATCTATATATAGATATATTATATCATCTATCATCTATCATTTCTCTATCATCTCTCTCTCTCTCTCTATTATATATATATATCTATATCTATCTCTCTCATTTCTCTCTCTCTCTCAATCATCTATATCTATATCTATCTATATATCTCTCTCTCTCATCTCTCTCTCTCTCTCTCAGTCATCTATATCTATATATCTCTCTCTCTCATTCTCTCTCTTTCTCATCTTTCATATTCTCTCTCTCTCAATCATCTATATCTATATCTATCTATATCTCTCTCTCATATATCTCTCTCTCAATCATCTATATCTATATCTATCTATATCTCTCTCTCATATATCTCTCTCTCAATCATCTATATCTATATATCTCTCTCTCTCATTTCTCTCTCTCTCTCTCATCTCATATCTCTCTCTCTCTCTCAATCATCTATAACTATATCTATCTATATATATCTCTCTCATCTCTCTCTCTCTCGCAATCCTCTATATCTATATATATCTCTCTCTCATTTCTCTCTCTCTCTCATCTCTCATATCTCTCTCTCTCAATCATCTATCTATCTATATATATATCATCTCTCATCTCTCTCTCTCTCTCTCTCTCTCTCATCTATATCTATATATCTCTCATCTCTCTCATCTATATCTATCTACTGTGTTTCCCCAAAAATAAGACCCTGTCTTATATATTTTTGAACCCCAAAATAAGCGCTTGGCCTTATTTTCGGGGAGGTTTTATTATTTTGGGGCGCGTGGAGCAAGACGGGGCTCCTCTTGCCGTCTTACCTGATTTCCAGCTCTGCGTTTAAACGTTTTCTTTTTAAAAGTTTTAAAGTTAAAAGGTTTTTTTTTTTTAAAAAAAACACCTTAATCTTGGTTATAAAATGTTAGGGAGGGAAGCCATAATTGGCCCGTCAAAGGACACCATCCCTAGCTAACTACCACTGTTTACAATCACCGTATTTCGTTTCCTTTTGACACCCCCCCTGAAGGTTGGATCTGCTACTCAACATTCTCTTGAGGACTAGAGCCTTGGAGGCCGGTTTTCCTCCCTGCTAAATCGGTCTGTGAAATCATATTTTGTTCTCTCTCTCGACTCACTCGTGTTGGGCGACTTGAAATGCTTCTCTTTCTGCCTTTTCAGCCTCCGATATTTCCCTCCCATATCTGGGGTTCGAAGGCTGGCTGGACCGATTCAAAGCCCCCCGCGAAGCCAGAAATTCAAATTCACCTTCAAAACATTCTAGAAAACCGGATCAATTCTGGCAAAGTCTTTATTAGAAGGCTGATGTCACAGAAGCAACAGTTATATGAGGATGTTCTATATTGTAATTCGAGCTAGAATCATACAAGGGGCTGCTTTATCAAAATAGGCCCAGTTCCCCGCAAGGAGAAAACTAGCATGTCAGGGAAAGGAGCTGTTTCGCCTGATCTGCTACATTTCGGCATGCGGGGAGTTGGTGGTTAGATTTGTGGAAGATCTCTCCCCACGTTGCACGGTTCCGAGAAAATTGAGCCATCCAAACTCTACGTCTATGCGACCAGGAGGAATGAATGTGGAAGGGGCACCACCCAGCGATCTCCCATCCCTTTCTCTCCCATTCAAGTAGCAAAGAGTTGATGGATTTGAACTTGATTAAGAGGGCAGGGCAGCCACGGATCGCTTTTGGCTAATGCTGTGAAGCTTGCAGCGTTGAATGTGTCAGACTTTGGGGCAGCGAGGAGGGGGGGCGACGAGGGTCCAAATTCGGGGCACGAACCCGGCGTCGAAGAAGTGAAGGTAGAAAAGGGGTGGAGCCTGTTGGCACAAGTGATGGGAGGAGCCAGGGAGGGCTGTGGGTGGGGCTAGAAGAGAGCTAAGAAAGACTCCGCTGAGGGGTGGAGCCACAGCAAATATGGGTGGGGCTAAAGAGCCCAGAGAAAAATCAATCTAGCAACCGGTGGGTGGAGTCAATGCAAAACAGAGGCAGATTAAGGGGTGGGGCTAGAAGCCGGCCGGAAGCCGATAGAATCTGAAGTTAACTGGCATTTCCAACTCCCAATGACGACCTTGTTTTGCCAAGCGGGTAGGAAAAAAGAGACAAAATCTGAATCCTAGGTTTTCTTCCTCCTTCATTCAACCCGTCTATGTGGCCTCTGGGTGCCCCTCGGCTTGTTTCTGGAGCTCAACTGTGCCCTTAGCCGAGCCGCCATGAGCTCCTGGCCAAATTTTTTCCTCCGATGGCTGGGAAAGGGACAGAAGAAAGGCAAGACTCGGAGCAAGAAGAAACAACGAGTTATGCAGGTTCAAGAGGACACTTTTGGCCGGGCTACGGTCCGTAGTTTGGGGGGCTTCGCCCTGGGGATGACCCTCTCTGCAGCCTATGGGGCCTTGGTTATTTTTGGCCAAGGCTACAGCATCTGGTACTGCCTGCTCTCCACCATCACCCTGGCCATCGTCCTCGGCCTCGGCATGGCGTTTTCTTTCAAAGTCCGAGTAACCGTCCTTCTCATGCTTCCTCAATTTTTTTCGAGTAAGTGCCCCCAACACCACCTCCGGAAAAGAAATACGGGAAGTCTTCGAATTACGACCAGAATCGAGCCCCAAATTCCCGCTACTAAGTGAGACCATTCAATTTTTGTCCCGTTGTTGGCCGATCTTTCTCGCCAGATCGTTGTTAAAGTAGAATCTCTGCACTGTTCAGTTACTCACACGGTTGTTAAGCGTGTTAAGATGGTCGCAAAAAGCGGATCATGTGACCCCAGGACACCGCGACCGTCAATCTAGATGAGTCAGTGGCCGCGTGATTGAATTTCGATCACGTAACCATGGGGAATGCTGCAATCTTTGCATGGGGGGGAAAAAAAGTTCGCAAATCACTTTTTTTTCCCAGTGCCGGGGTGACTTTGAGCGGTCACTAAACGAAGCGCTGTAAGTCGAGGACGACCTGTAATGAAAAAGAAAATGGAAGGCTTCTTCACTGAAGGAGCAAGGCCCGAACGCTAATTTCCCAATCTGAGGAGAATCCGGTGTTAGGATTCTCTGAATCGAGTCTTCCCAAAATTGCCAGCGAGAAAGCAAGAATATTTGGATGATATATTGGGGTAGAAAGATCATCGGAGGTGTAATTGCAGTCTGAAAGTTTGTCGAACCCCAGAATAAGACACTTGTAGGGGGGGCTGATTTATAGGAGGCAATGTTCCCCACCCACTTGGGGTGCCCATTTCAGGGGGCTTGAAATGGTTTTAAGGTTGCGCGGGGGGTGGGGGTGGGGGCAAATGTGAATCCAGAAATAGATTCAAAACTCTGTAACGTTTTCCTTATTTCTCTCCTCCGACAGAAGAGGGGAAGATGGTACTGATACTCCTGGCGTTCGGAATGGCTATGGAAGGACCCTTTGCCAACATCGTCCGGAATTTCTACCGGAGCGCCGACACCGTCTCGTGCGGGGCCGAGCTGGCTCTCAACCAGACGGCGGAAATGCTGCAGCGAGCTCGCGAACCTCTGATCAGTGAGAGGGCCTGCCCAGCTGAACGAATACAAGACAGAATGCAGAATAGAATGTGGAATGTAGAATACAATATAGAACAGTGATGGCTAACCTTTTTCTCTTCCTGCGCCAAAAGCATGCGCGCCAGCACCCCTATGGCAATGCGGGGGCTCCCCACATGCGCACACGATTCCCCATGCAACCGACGACCCCCCCGTGCATTCATACGAGGGGTGGGATTGAAAAAGTTTAGCAACCTGCACCATGATGGGAGGGGGGGTGTTTTCACCCTTCACAGGCTCCTCGAGCCTCTGGGAGGGCGAAAATGGCTTTTCCCGTGCTCCAGAGGCCAGAAACGGGCCCATTCTCAGACTTCCGGTACTTCCGGTAGGCCCGGTTTTTTTGCCCTCCCCAGGCTCCGGAGGCTTTTCTTGAGCCTCCGGGAAAGCGAAAACGGCTTCCTCTGAGCTCCAGAGGCCAGAAACGGGGCCCGTTTTCGGACTTCCGGTAATTCTGGAACAAATAAAGAATCAAGAGTATAGAATATAAAATGGAATATAGAATGTAGAATTCCATTCCATTCCATTCGAGAATTGCTGGGAGCTATAAACTCTACTACAGAAAACGTAGCACATACGATGCGCAGATTTGCAGAAAAATCCTCTTTTATTTATTTCCCAGGTATAATCGGGAGTTCGGCGTTTGGCTTTGCCCAGCGAGGTGTTCCAAGAAGGCATGTTCAGCTCCTATTCTATTCCCCTCTCCCCACTTCTGCCTAGATGCCTTAAAGAAAATCAAAGATATTGCCAGAAAAGCCAAAGTGGTTGGAGACCGTGTCCGAAAACTTTTCCGGTCTGTCATGGATGCGGTGCGGCATGTCGGTGAGTGAGGGAAGATTTTTGCAAGTTAAAAATTTAAAGAAAAGGGGGATTTCCAAAAGCTGCGATTCCTTTCACTGCTTCTTTGAGACCACAATCCCCATCTTCCCCAGCCAGCATGGCTCATTCCTGCAGTGTCTGACAGGGAAACGTTGCTCCCCATCATCTAATCACATTCCTAACTTTATCGGACAAATGTGCTGAGATGACACTTTAATACGTGGCATTACCGGTTATGACCACCAGTGGCGCTGTTTGATTTTTGAGGAGTGAAACTCGATTTACATGGATCTTTATGAGATAGGTGGTCCTCGACTTACAACAGTTAATTGTTTTGTCCCAGCTACGGACCCCGAAGAACGCAGCACACACAAAGTCTGTACAAACCTTAGTTTACTAAATTAAATCAGTCTTTTTCAAACAAAGGCTGTTAATTCACTTTCTTAACAGCCTACAAGAATCCAAAGAATAAATAACCGTAATCTTACTAGGGTTGGCAGAAAGCCCAGAAGCAATTTGCAGGAAACTGATAAGAGAACTAAGATCAAAATGCGAAGGAGAGTGAACGAAGTTGTTCCCTGCAAATTGCCTCAGTCATCGTCCTTCCTTAAATAGGCTAAGGGAGTGGCCAATTAGCCCCAAGCCTTACTCTCAAGGAGACCTCCTCCTGAGGAGCCACTCCTGCCTTTTGGCAGCTCTGCGTGCCCGTGCATCGAGAAGAGGCTCCTCCTCTTCTTCCTCTTCACTTATGGGAGCTTCTGGAGGTTCTGGCTGAATCCCCGCCTCTGGCACCACATCTTCTCCAGCCTCCTCACTGTCCGACTCGAGCGCCAGCTGCACAGGCTGCTGGCGCAGCATCACACCAGCCTCCTCGCTGTCGGAATCAGCTACCAGCTGCACAGGCCGCTGACGGGCCACAACAACAAAAGAAAACTAAACAATGGTTAAATTAGGTGGAGGAATATGGAAACAAATGGGAAGATTTCACATACATTTGGGGGCTCGGTTGCAGTCGTACATCGAGGACGGCCCGTACGCGCCGCTTCTTTTGTCTTGCAGCTCACTGTATGCGCAACGTTTGGTACTTCCTTCTCCACATGGGCGACGTTTGCAACGAGGAGATGGGCCGGCCCTATCAGAAATGTGTCCGCATCTTTGACAGCGCCAAGGACCGGTGTGAACGCGCCATCCCTTTCCTTTCCTTTCTCTGCCACATTGTCCTTCTCTTCAAGTACCTCTGCGGATTGGCTAACAGTGAGCTCGCGGAGTCAGCGGTGGGATTCAAATAATGTTAACAACCGGTCCTCTGCCCTCATGACCGGCTGGGTGGGCGTGGCCATGGTGGGCGTGGCCAGGGGTGTGTGACAGGCAGCACTCGGCCTCCTGCACCAGGCACAAAAATGGGCCGCGGAGCGCGTGCCTCCCTCCTGCTCCTCGTTTTGGGCCTAGTAAGCCACCCTGCAGCCTCCTGGGAGCAAAAACGGGCTGCGGGGAGGGGGGGAGAGGAGGGCAGCTGTGGGGTCCTTGGTGCTCTCTGAATGTGGCTGTTTTCTTGCAGACGTTTCATGACCCAACTAGGTAACATCATCAGTGCTAGGTAATGAAACATCTGCAAGAAAACAGCCGAGTTCAGGGAATTTTGGCTGTTCTTGGGTGATCGGCCTTCACCGCACCATGCCAACCACGCTCTCCTCATTCCTTCCACAGTCCTTCTGGTGTTCTGCATCATACCGCAGTACATCGTGCCGTTTCTGCGTCGCAGAGTGGCAGAACGTAAGGCCAGAGCGGCGTCGGCGTCCTCCTCCTCCTCCCTCCTCCTTTCCATTGCAATATTCCGCCTCTCGCAACGGCCAACCAAACACTTCCAAAAGAGGATTGGCTCTGCCCCTTTCTATGTGTCCCAAACCCTCTTGAGGCCCCACCTACCTTTCTTGCAGGCCCCACCCACCGGGTGTTCCTACCTGGGAGGGCAGGTGGTCCTGGAAAGGAAGGGAAAGGGGAAAAAAGGATTCCTCAGCCTTCCTGATATTTTCCAAACTTTCTGTCTCTCTTTCTCTCTCTCACCCACTCCAAGCTGTCATGGCCATGCTGAATCGCGTGCGGGCCGAGTTCGAATTCAACATCACCACCATCCACCAGTACGAGGTGAGCATCAATGCCAGCAAGAAGCTCTCGGAGGTGGCCTTCGACATCATGGAGGAAGTGTCCGAGCGTCTGCAACCGGTGCGGGAAGCGGTGGGACTTTTCGGCTACATGTCCACTCTGGTCATGCTCTACATGTACCTCGGGTGAGCCAAGGAGGGGAGGAATAACAAGGGTTGGAAGGGATCCTGAAGGTCTTCTAGTCCAACCCCACCCTACTCAAGCAGGAAACCCTATCCCATTCTGGACAAATGGCTGCCCAGTCTCTTCTTGAAAACCTCCAGTGATGGAGCACCCACAACTTCTGGTGGCAAGGCGTTCCACTGGTTAATGGTTCTCACTGTCAGGGATTTTCTTCTTAGCTCTAGGTTGCTTCTCTCCAGGGGTGAAATCCAGCAGGTTCTGACAGGTTCTGGAAACTGGTAGCGGAAATTTTGAGTAGTTCGGAGAACCGGTAGCGGAAATTTTGAGTAGGTTCAGAGAACCGGTAGCGGAAATTTTGAGTAGTTTGGAGAACCGCTAGTGGAAATTTTGAGTAGTTCAGAGAACCGGTAGCGGAAATTTTGAGTAGTTTGGAGAACCGCTAGTGGAAATTTTGAGTAGTTCAGAGAACCGGTAGCGGAAATTTTGAGTAGTTCGGAGAACCGGTAGCAGAAATTTTGAGTAGTTCGGAGAACCGGTAGCGGAAATTTTGAGAGTTCGGAGAACCGGTAGCGGAAATTTTGAGTAGTTCAGAGAACCGGCAAATGCCACCTTTGACTGGCCCCAGAGTGGGGAGGGAATGGGGATTTTGCAGTGTCCTTCCCCTGCCATGCCCGCCACGCCCACCAAGTCACCAAGCCACGCCCACAGAACTGGTAGTAAAATAATTTGGATTTCACCACTTCTTCTCTCCTTGGTTAGTTTCCATCCATTGCTTCTTGTCCTGCCTTCAACTGCTTTGGAGAATAAGTCGACCCCCTCTTCTTTGGGGCAGCCCCAGAAATATTGGAACACTGTCATCACATCAGCCCCTGGTCCTTTTTTTCCCATTAAACTAGACATACCCTGTTCCAGAAATTCATATGTTTTAGCTTCCAGTCCTTTACAGGATGTGAGGAGGGGGTCCTTCTGGGGATGATGGACCCCAGAGATGAAGGACGGGGAAATTTGATCTTGTTGTTGTGGGTCTTCTTTCCCCCACGAGGCCTTCTTCACTTCTTCAGGGCTCTCCTGTACCGAAAACATTACCTACACGAGGACAGTTTCGACAACATTTATATCACCAAATCCTTTCTCGAAATGGACGCCGTTCGGAGGAAAAACAAGCGTCCGTCCGTGCTGCCCTTATCGCCGAAGGAAAGCACCAAATACATCCGGCCAAGTATGTGTGGTGTGGTGTGCAATTGTGTCTCAGGGGTGTGGATGTCACAAACTCCAGAAAGTCCTTGGCTTGTTGATAGCAAGGATGATTTTATTACGCCTTGTTGCACAGCCTCCCTGGTGTTACCGCGCAAGGAGCAGATCGCCTACGCACTGGCCCTGGCTCGTATCTGCCGCCAATTTATCTTGGTGATTTTGCTCATCGTGGCGGACTTCTCCGTCTACTGGCTGTTCGACTTGGTGCGCTACCATCTGGTGGGCGAGATCACCGCGAGAGGTAAGATGGAGGGGCCAGAGGGAGGAAGGAAGGGCGTTTCATGTACTGGATTTCATCAGGGTGCAGCTCGGGGGCCCGGTGGCTTTCTCTCTGATCGGCCTACCTCGTAGGGTCATTGCAGGGAAGGAAAAGAGGGAGGGGGAGAGGAAGGGGCAAGAAAAGGAAAGGGAAAAGGAAATGGGAAAGAAAGAAAGGAACGAAGGAAAGAAAAGGAGAGGGAGGGGAGAAAGGAAAGGGTGGAAGGAAGAGGCAAGCAAAGTGAAGTGAAAGTGAAAGTAAGTGGGGAAGAGAGGGAGAAAGGGTTAAAGAGGAAGGGAAGAGAGATGGAGGAAAGGGGAAAGGAAAGGGGAGAGGAGAGGAAAGTGAAAGCAAGAGAGGAGGAGCGAGGGAGGAAAGATTAGGGGAGGAGGGGAGAGAGAAAGGGAAGAAGGAAAGGAAAGGGAGAGAGGAGAAAGTGAAAGTGAAACTAAGAAGGGAAGAATGGAGAGAGGAGGAGAAAGAGGAAGGAAGGAACAAGGAAAGGAAAAGAAAGGAAAGGAAAGGAGAAAGGGAAGGGAAGGGGAAGGAAGGGAAGGAAAAGTGGATCCAAGAAAAGAAATCCTTCAAACTCTCCATACTCTATGATCCCCAAAACAAAGAAAGAGAGGTCACCCTAGTGGACATATGTCCTTCTCCTTCTCTGCAGCTCCAGTGCTGACCACGATCAGCGTGAACGGCTCTGGCTACACCAGTGAACTGTACCGCGACTTGGTCTCCTCCTTCGACGTGCTTCAGGAGGGGAATATCAGCGTGGTGTCCCCAAAATGCCGCCTGCGCCCATCGGAGCCCGACTACAACGGTTACCTCGTGATCGGTAGCTGGACTTCAGGCATTGCTTCCGTTCCCGCTCACCAAGGAAGAGACCCTGCCAGTTTCACTGAATTTTCTTCCCCGGTCTTCAGTGAAACTGACCGGATACTCTGCCTGCACGTCCGTTTTCCCCCAAAAAAGAATTGGCGGGAGAATTTAAAAAAAGATAAAAAGCAGTAAATGGGGATAGAAAGAAGTAGACAGTTATGGGTTTAAAAGAGAGAGACTTTGGGGGTTACAGGTAGTCCTCGACTTCCAACAGTTCGTTTAGTGACTGTTCAAAGTTACAACGGCATGGAATAAAAAGGTGATTTATGACCGTTTTTCACACTTAACGACCGTTGCAGCATCCCCTTGGTCACAAAACTCAGATGCTTGACAACCGGTTCATCTTTACAACGGTTGTAGGGTCCTCGAGTCACATGATTCTCTTTTGCGGCCTACCGATGAGCTACGTCAACGGGGGAAGACAAATTCATTTTACGACCGTGGGGGCTGACTTAGCCACTATGATTCGCTGAACAACGGCGGCAAGGAAGGTCGTAAAAGGGGGGCAAAACTTAGCGAACCAATTTCTTGCTTGGCACCTGAAATGTTGGGCTCCCTTGTGCTCGTAAGTCGAGGATCCCCTGCAGACATGGATGGATTTAAAAGCTTTGGGGATTATATGAACAGCAGAGCTGGTAGCACAAAGAGGTTGAATGCAAATTATTTCTTATCTGCACAAGGCAGCCGTTAAAAAGCAGAAAACTCTTAATTCCGTCACGGCGTTTGAATTCGAGGAAGAAAAAAATCTGCCTTTGGAGAGCGATAAAAGTACTTTAAATGACAAATGGGCCGTTTTTCAAGCACTCCAGCGACACAATTTCGCTGCGTTTAAAACTCCCTCGGCGGCCACTTGAACGGAAGCGGTGAGACGAGCATAAGACGCAGTGGCCAGGCATCGAAAGAGACACCGTAATCCATCATCCTCAGCGGGATGTGTGTGTGTGTGTGTGTATCCATCATGCCTGCTGGCATGTTCTTGGGGGAGCCAAGAAGAATCAGGCGAGGGAGGCAGGTGTGAGCTTCAAAAATTTTAGCAAAGGGTTCTCTGTCCAGTTGCTGGGTGGGCATGGCCATGGCGGGTGTGGCCTAGTCAGTCTCCTGCACCACAGCGGGGGGCATTTTTTCCCTCCCCAGGCTCCAGTGGCTTTCCTTGAGTCTCCGGGAGGCCGGAAACGGACTTCCGGTAGGCCCGTTTTTTGTCCTCCCCGAGCCTCTGTGCGCGCCCTGCACTTACATGCATCCAAAATGGGCCGCGTGGGGACTCCTCGGAGGGGTGGGTGGGGCCAGCCAGGAGTGGGATTTGGGGGTTCTCTGAACTGATTCTGAACTGCACGGAATCTTAGCTAGAGGTTCGCCCGAACCCCTGCGAACCCGCAGCAGCCCATCCCCGGAAGGAGGGTGTGACACCTGCAAATTTGTTTGGAAAGGGAGTCTTTGATTTACGACCGTGTTTGGGACCTGATTTTTCTTGTCATCAAGCAAGGCGGCCATTCAACGAGCGGCCCCGATTTCACGAACCTTTTTTTTTTTTGACACGGTTGTTAAGCTAATCAGGCTGTCATTAAATGGGCCCGTTGACTTTGCTTGCGGGAAGCCGGCTGGCAGGGTCTCAAATGGGGATTGTGTGACCCTGGGATGCTGCAGTCATGGTAAATACATGTCGGTTGTCGGAATTTTGATCACGTGATGGTGGGATGGTCGTAAGAGCGAGGAAAAATCCACAGGGCTTACTTCCGTCCTTAAATGTTTGACCAAACTATTTAAGATAGTTTTCCTAACTTTTAGCCAAACTTCCTATCTCCTTCCCTCTCTTGCTTCCAAACCCAAGCCTGTTTCCCTGGCTATAATGACAACCGCAGAATTGTTAAGTTGAAAGGGCTCTTAGAGGTCATCTATTCCAACCCCCCCTGCTGGAGGCAGAGAAGGTGTGTTCACCCATCTTTTTTCATGCTTCTTCCCCAGGTCTCATGTACGGGATCTGTTTATTCAGTGCCATCTTCGGCACCTACATACAACGTATGCGGCGAGTTCTTTGCGCGTGGTATTATCCGTCACGGGAACGGGTGAGTGTCCCCCCCCATTTTTCCTTTCTCCTGTGGCCTATCTCGCAATCAGGAAGGTGTTTTTGTGTGTGCGTGCGAGCTAAAGAAATAGGAAAACTTTAATTAAAGTCGCCGCTGACTCTTCGAGGCGAGCTGCAAACGGATTCAACCAAGATCTGCATCGCGTATCATGTTGGCAGTTGGCAATCTCGGAAGTTTAAAGAAAATAAAACTTTTTCCCCCAATTTAGGAACGGGTTTGCTACCTCTACAATACGATTTTGACTCGAAGGACCAAACTTATGAGCGCTGTGCTTAGGGCTGTACGGCAAAACTCAGCGGATGAAGGACACCAAAATATTTTACTCGTCTTTGCATCAAAGTAAGACATTTGCAGGGCAGTTCATAGGGCCACGCAATTTTGTAAAACGAATGAACGAATGAACGAACGAACGAATATTTTAACTGTACATCTCCCAAAGCTTTGGGAGCGAGATGCGAGGTCTCCAAATTTCATACACAAGTAGTCCTCGACTTACGACCACAACTGAGCCCAAGATTTATGTTGCTAAGTGAGACATTTAAGGGAGTTCTGCCCCATCTTACGACTTTTCTTGCCACGTTTCTTAAGTGAATTGCTGGCAGTTGTTAAATTAATAACTCGGTCGTTAAGTGAGCCTGGGTTTCCCCGTCTACTTGGTTTGTCAAAAGGTGGATTGTGTAACCCTGGAGTGCTGCGACTGTCATAAATACGAGTCAGCGGCCAAGCGTCTGAATGTAAATCATGTCACCCCTGGGGAAGCTGCAACGGTCGTGAGTGTGAAATACGGTCCTAGGTCCCCTTTTTTCCCAGTGTTGTCGTAACTTCGAACGGGCACTAAACGAACGGTCATAAATCAAGGACCAGCTGTATTGAAGGTTTTTTTTTTTTTAAAGACACAGTTTGCTCGCAGGATGGCAAAATGACGAGACTCACAATAGTGGCGAAGTGGCCAGAAGCCCGCAAATCACAACCCCGGTGGACGAACTCACGGAAAAGCCACACGAGAATCCCATTGCGCTCTTTTTTCCTTTTGCGCGTCGTTCTTTCACACGCTTTCTCCCAAACGCACACTTGCTGCTTTGCCTCCTGCCACAGGTTCCGTCTGTGTCGCTGGTTGGTTAAGATGTTGGGGGTCCACGAAGCGTATTGCATGGGTTGCGGGAAGATCCAGAGAGGGGCGGACGGTGAGGACTTCGTGACGTGCATCACACCAGCTTGCCGAGGTTTGGAAATGAACGAAGGGAGGACGATGGGTGGGGGGAATAGATGGGATTCCGTGTTATTTGACGCTTTTAAAAATCCTTCGCAGGGATCTACTGCCCTGAATGTTACAGGATTCTCAATAACACCTGCTCCATCTGTATGGCCCCCCTCACGTACCAGGGGGACATAGACGAGGAAATGTAAGTGCCTGCAGCTTACGGCCGTTGTTAAGTGAATCGGTCTCATTCTCTTCCTCTTGGCAAACCCCCACTTCCTTCTAGCACTGATGATGTTACCTAGTTGGGTCATGAAACGTTTGCAAGGAAACCACGAATCTCAGAGAGCACCAAGGACCCAACAGTCATTGTAATGTGTCATGGTCTTCTTCTTCCTCCTCTTCCTCTTCTTCTTCTTCTTCCTCTTTTTCTCCTCCTCCTCCTCCTCCTCCTTCTTCTCCTCCTCCTTCTTCTTCTCCTTCTCCTCCTCCTTCTTCTTCTTCTTCCTCCTCCTCTTCCTCTTCCTCTCCTCCTCCTTCTTCTCCTCCTCCTCCTTCTTCTTCTCCTCCTCCTCCTCCTTCTTCTTCTCCTCCTCCTCCTCCTTCTTCTTCTCCTTCTCCTCCTTCTTCTTCTCCTCCTCCTCCTTCTTCCTCCTCCTCCTCCTTCTTCTTCTCCTCCTCCTCCTTCTTCTTCCTCCTCCTCCTCTTGCTCTTCTTCTTCTCCTCCTCCTCCTCCTCTTCCTCCTCCTCCTCCTTCTTCCTCCTCCTCCTCTTCCTCTTCTTCTCCTCCTCCTTCTCCTCCTCCTCCTCCTCCTCCTTCTCCTCCTCCTCCTCCTCCTCTTCCTAGCAAACCCATTCCCTTCTAGCCCCGATGATGTTCCCTAGTTGGGTCACGAAACGTCTGCAAGAAAACCACCCAGCTCAGAGAGCACCGAGGACCCCTCACATCAGGGACCCCTCTAGGAAAGGATGTGGTTCTACTAAACCCACTTTCTTTTTAAACCTTCATTCAGAGATTCAAGTGACGAAGAGGCAATGGTGCTCTGGACGAATGCAGTCCATGCGTTGCGCGGAGTCCCGGACGAGAAACGACAGAAGCAACGCCGATTGTTGAAGACACGGATCATGCGGGCGGTGAAAGGAGAAGGAGGGTGTCGCGCGTTACCTGCACAGCTGGCGAGGAAAATCTTGGCACAATTGAAAGAGGAGGAAGAGGAGGAGGAGGAGGAAGAGGAAGAGGAAGAGGAAGAGGAAGAGGAGGAAGAAGGTAGTGAAAGCGAGGAAGAGTCATCCCCCAGTTCAGACGATGAGAGCAGTACGTCGAGTTCGGACACAAGGTGAGAAGTGAATTCTCCTCCCCCATCGGCCATTCCCACAGTAGATCCATATTGTTTTCAACAGAGTGGCCCGCACTGCAGGGATGGAAGGGTGAAGGAAGTTGCGTCTCTCTGTACTGTGCTATCAACCAGCCAGAGTGCAGATGGTGCAGCCAAACTACATCGGTGGGGTTTCCGCATTGTGCTGTGACACAGTTGGTTGAATCGGGGTTTAATCATGGCTGAATCAAGGTTTAATCATGGGTCATTGGTTGAATGGTGGCTTAATCCTGGAAAGAAGCCCCCAGTGGGTTGGGTTGGCCAGTTAGAACAGTGGGGTCTCCAAACTTAGCAACTTTAAGACTTGTGGACTTCAACTCCCAGAATTCCCCAGCCAGCATGGGTTGAAGTTCATAAGTCTTAAAGCGATGCTGACTGGGGAATTCTGGGAGTTGAAGTCCTTAAGTCTTAAAGTTGCCAAGTTTGGAGACCCCGGAACATAAACAGAGAATTACAAATTACTGGGGGTTTCAAACTTGTTGGCCCGGCCCCCCGACAAGCTGCATCATGGCTTGTGAAGGTAAATTAGGAAAATATATTTAGAAAAAAAATATTTTTAAAACATATTTCTTCCCCCCTTTCCTTGCTCCCTTTGAGTCAAGAAAAGGCCAAAATATTTAGCTTTTAAACTCTTTTTACAAGTCAGAGACCATCTGGTAGGAGATGCAACCTCACAGCAATAAAGTAAAAAAATAAATTTAAAATAAAATATAAAATGAAGAGTTTTCTCCTTTTCAGCCATCTGGACTTCAGTTACCAAAACGAGGCCGAGATAAGCAGCGGCGAGGAATTAGAAGAGGTAAAAACTGACCAAAAACTTCACTCAAATAAAGCGAGAAAGAGAATCTGAAAAAAATGACTTTTCCCATAAACTGATCTTCTCGTCTACGTAGAGAAGGTAGATCTACCTGATATTATTCAATAGAGTGATTCAACGAGGCAAAATATGGACTTATTCTCACCCTCCCAAATCTTCTTTGTGTTCTTGGGGACTTCAAGGATCTTTTACAATTCAGATTTTTGGCAAAAACACAGACGTCGTTGTGAAAAAAAAGCTTTTCGATCTGTTTTACAGCATGAAGATTACTTGGTGGTCTCCGATTCTTCGTACTGACTAGCCTGAAACTCGTTTTACTTTTAGAGTTCAGATGTGGTGGCTTTCAGGATGAGTCCTTCAACCTGTCACCCAAAGTCAAAAAGGCATTTGATAAATTGGACCTTATGATAGAAATTTAGAACTCAGGGAGAGTTGGAACATATGGTAGAAATCTAGAACTCAGGGAGAGTTGGAACATATAGTAGAAATCTAGAACTCAGGGAAAGTTGGACCTTATGGTAGAAATCTTAGAACTCAGGGAGAGTTGGACCTTAGGGTAGAAATCTAGAACTCAAGGGGTTGATTCTTATGGTAGAACTCTAGAACTCAAGGAGAGTTGGACCTTATGGTAGAAATCTAGCAACTCAGTTTGGACCTTATTAGAAAGCTAAACTCAAGGAGAGTTGGACCTTATGGTAGAAATCTAGAACTCAAGGGGAGTTGGACCTTATGGTAGAAATCTAGAACTCAGGAGTTGGACCTTAGGTAGAAATCTAGAACTCAGAGGAGTTGGAACATATGGTAGAAATCTAGAACTCAGGGAAGTTGGACCTTATGGTAGAAATCTAGAACTCGAGGAGAGTTGGACCTTATGGTAAAAATCTAGCAACTCAGGGAGAGTTGGACCTTATGGTAGAAATCTAGAACTCAATGGGTTGGTCCTTATGGTAGAAAGCTAGAACTCAAGGAGATTGGACCTTATGGCATAACTCTAGAACTCAAGGAGAGTTGGACCTTATGGTAGAAATCTAGAACTCAAGGAGTTGATTCTTATGGTAGAACTCTAGAACTCAGGGAGAGTTGGACCTTGTGGTAGAAATCTAGAACTCAAGGGTTGATTCTTATGGTAGAACTCTAGAACTCAAGGAGAGTTGGACCTTATGGTAGAAATCTAGAACTCAAGGGGTTGATTCTTATGGTAGAACTCTAGAACTCAAGGAGAGTTGGACCTTATGGTAGAAATCTAGAACTCAAGGACCTTATGGTAGAAATCTAGCAGTTCAGGTTGGACCTTATGGTAGAAATCTAGAACTCAGGGAGAGTTGGACCTTATGGTAGAAATCCAGAACTCAAGGGGTTGATTCTTATGGTAGAACTCTAGAACTCAAGGAGAGTTGGACCTTATGGTAGAAATCTAGAACCCAAGGACCTTATGGTAGAAATCTAGCAGCTCAGGTTGGACCTTATGGTAGAAATCTAGAACAAGGAGAGTTCGACCTTATGGTAGAAATCTAGAACAAGGAGAGTTCGACCTTGTGGTAAAAATCTGGAACTCAGGGAGATTTGTCCCAAACACAGCTACACGTTCACCATGCCTCTTTTGGTTTTTTTAAATAACAATTTCCTTAAAAGTTGCGATCCGGACGTGCCACGCCAAAAGCGAGCAAAAGATACACCGACACACCACCGCAGGCGACAACGGTTCCCTGCTCTCCATTTTATTATCAAGCCCTCGGCACAGACCCAAAAAATAAAATAAAAATCCCCTTGAATTCCAGCACACAAACAATAACAATCGTTTTTAAAAAAATAAAACCGAAGCAGGAACAATCAATCCCCTTTTTTTCCACAGTCCAAGTAACTAGGCTTTTTCTTCCCCCTCCCGCTTCGACTAGCGCTACCCCTGCCAGGTAGGACACTGTAAGAGAAGGAGAGGTTTACTCGACAGACTGTAAAAAAAATCTTCCAACGGGGAAACTGAGGAAATAAGACAGGAAACGTTGCATAAAATAATTGGGAACCTGCTTTTTCTCTCTCTCTCTCTCTCTCTTCCTCCTTTCTTGGTTTCAAGTAGCTAATTCAAGTTTAAACGCAAAGGCACTTGTAAGGCTAAGGAAAATTCAGTCATTTCCTCTTTTTTTCCCGGAAGGGGAAGGGGAGATGGGGATTCATCGAAGTGGGTGGGATACAGGAGGGGATAAAATATATTATCTCTCTTAAATACAGATTAACTCTCAGCAAATACTTCTGGAGGGCGGGAGCTTCTTGTGGTTTTCACACACATACAAACGCACGTACACCCCTCCCTAATTTTAATCTCTCGGAAATCTCCAGGAAAATGCAAAATAAAAATAAAAATAAAAATAAAAAAGTGTGCAAAGATAGGAGCGAGAAACTTCCCACCGTGAAGGCATTTCTTAGTGCAATCGAGTCAGGAAATTCAAGGAAAAAGGATGCAAAAGAATTCTAAGGTTGGGGGGGGGGTATCATTCCTTTTTTAAAAAAATAATAATAATTAAAAAAAATTATTCGTTTTGTGCAAACTGCCTCGGGGTACCTTTGGTTGAGGAGGGGGAGGGGCAGGTTTGAGCAAGGGAGGGGGGAGATGGGATTACAGGGAGAAGCGTCCCCCGTCCCATATTTATGTGCTAATTGTTTTGCAACAAGCTTAGGGCGGATGTAGGAAAGGGGGGGGGAAGGTTTTCTTGCAGCCCCCTCCCCTTCATTGCAGGGAGGGTGGGGAAGGCAAAGCTTTATAAAGGATCGGAGGGAGTGTGCAGAGAGCAGCCCTCTGCACTGTGCAAGACAGCCACCAGGGGGCAGCCAAGTTTAGGCCCGGGGATTTTGTGATCAAAGGAATCCCATTTTCCTAAACTGGATTTCTGGGATCGGGCGGGAATCTCCCGACGGAATACGCCGTGAAGTCTCTGGGCTGGGTCCGCACTGCCTGACTGGATGCAGCATGCGTGGCCCAAGCTTAAGGGATACAGATAGTCCTCGGCTTATGACCAAAATGTCTTATCGCTAAGCGAGACAGATGTTTAAGGGCGTTTTCGCCCCGTTTTAACGACCGTTCTTGTTAAGTGAATCACTGCAATTGCTAAGTTCGCAGCAGACTTGTTAAGGGAAGCTGTCTTCCCCCGTGATTTTACTTGTCAGACCGTCGCAAAAGGGGATCACGTGACCCCCACCCCCACCCCCAGGATGCTGTGACCATCATAAGAATGAACCAAGCATCTGAATTTTTGATCACATGACCACCAGGGATGCTGCAACAGTCGTTAAGTGTGAAAAAGTCATTTTTTTTCCAGTGCTGTTGTAACTTTGAACAGTCTCTAAATGAATTGTTATAGGTCGAGGACTATCTGCAAGATACTCGGGGGAAGGGGGGACAAGGATACCGCACCTATCTCCAGTCTGTGGATGATGGGATTGAGAGCAGGGGGCCAGGTCAGGCCCCCTGTTCTGTAGAGAGCCTGTTTGGAATGATCTGGTGGGGGAGGGGGGAAGACATTTTATTCTTTTTTTAACTTCCTGAAATGGCGGGGGGGGGACCCAAAATGCAGCAATTGAGCCCTGACATGTCATCCAAGTGGATCCCGGGCCCTCTGAGCAAGAAAATTTGTTTAGAATTGAATTTCTGCACCCTGAACAGGAAAAAGAATCAGGTTTGCCTCTCTTCTCCCTTCCCGATCCTAAAACGATATCCTTAACAGAGAAGGGAAAGAAGAAATTGCCCCCATTCTCACTCTTTTCTCCTTCCTAATGTGAAGCAATGCCCCCCCCCCCAAATAGCCCCCACCCTGAGTGCTGCTCCTCCCTGCCCCACAACCCATTCGTTTTTCATCGGCTGGGGAAGCAAAACTCGACTATACTTCCCTCCCTGCAAATATATGCTTATTTGAGACACCCTGAGCAAACATGCACCAATTGGCCCTTGATGCCCACCGTCGACCCCCTGTCCATTTGACCCCACTCTCCTTGGCTTTATAGGCTGCTTAAGGCACAGAATTGGGAGAGTGGTGAAGGGGGGTCCTAGTGCATTTGGTCTCCGTGACAATGTCCGGGGAACGCTATATCATCTCGCCATCAATGGTCTGTTTGAGCGAATGAATAGAGATAGTGCACAAACGAGTTTTGCGGTGATGGCCGTCCGAGGAAGTTACGCTGTTTGGACAACTGCCGTTGGGCCAACTGCTGTTGGGCCATCCTTCTGCACCCCCTCTACAGCTCCTTCTTCCTCTTCCTCCTCCTCCTCCTCTTTGGGGGCGGGTGACCTGGCAGCCGCCCCAGCAGGCCAGTAGTTGTGTAGCTCCTCTACGCGCCCGTTGGTTAAGCCCAGTTGAGCGGAGGCCAAGGCGATGCCGGTAGGTACCAAGGAATCGGTCTCCGGATCGGGGCCCCTCCGCCGGCGCCTGGTCCGGACTTCCAGACAGTTCTGGCCTTTCAGGTGGCGCTGGAGGTGGTCGTCCTTGGCGAAGGCTTTGTGGCAAAGGCAGCACTCATAGGGACGGGCGCCCGTGTGCAAGTGAAGGTGGTTTTTCAGATCGTAGCTGTGCAGGAAGCGAGCTGTGCAGTGGGGACACGAATAGGGGCGCTCACCAGTGTGTTTGCGCATGTGGATCTTGAGTTTGTCATTCCTGGGGAGAGATGAGGAACATGGGTGTAAATTGAGGGAGGGGGCATTGCTAGGTGTTTGACACTTAACTCAGTCCTTAGAATGATGGAAAGGAAGCCAGGAAAATGGAGTGAGCAAGGAGATGCAATTACAGGTAAGCCTCAAGTCACGACCACAATTGAGCCTAAAATTTATGTTGCTAAGTGAAACATTTGTTAAGTGAGTTTTCCCCTATTTTACTACCTTTCTTGCCTCTTTCTCCTTTCTTCCTTCCCTTTCCTTTTCTTTCCTTTCTCCCTCCTTCCCCTTTTCCTTCTTTCCATCCTTCCTTCCTCCCTCTTTCTATTTCCCTCGTTTTTCCCCTCCCTCTTTCCCTTTTCCTCTTTTCCCCTTCCTTCCTTCCTTCCTCCTTCTCCCCTCCCTTTCCTCCCTCTCCTTTCTTTTCTTCCTCCCTCCCTCCCAAAATTATCCATGAGTGGGGAATCTTTTGTCTCTCCAAAACCAATACTTGATACCCAGCCTGGGATTAATTTGGGGAGTGGTGTGGGATGCGATCGCCTCTTCTGAGTCAAGATCTACTCTTACCTGGTAAAACGGACACCACACACGTCACAGGCGAACGGCTTCTCCCCGGTGTGGGTCCGCATGTGACGAGGTAGCTTGCCTGCCCCATGGATGATCTTGTGACAGACAGGACATTCCTGGGGCATCTGCGAACGCCGTTTGCGTACCAGCTTGTCTGGGGGATCAAGACCCACAGACAGCCCCTCCTGGTTTAGCCGACGCATGTAGGATAGGATGTCCTGATCCACGGTCTCATCGTCTGAACCCAGATCTTCTGGGGAGAGACCGTACGGGAAGGGGAAGGTACGAGAGGGGGCCATGACCTCCTCCTCCTCCTCACGGGGGTGGCCCAACGCTGGGGCAGGTGACGCCTGGTTGGGTGGACTGGGGCGCTCCTGAGTTCCCGTGGAGGACGGAGACAATGAAGGAGAAACTTCCGTGATGTGGTTGTTTAGCCGCGAACCTCTGGCTTGCAAGAACTTGCGTGTTTTCTTGCTACGGCGGGGAGCTGGACATGCGGGGGGCTCGGCTAGGTCACCTTCCATGTTGGGCATCGTGCCGAAAGCTTCTAGGTAACGCCGGGCGCGTTCCCGAGCGGCGTCATCTGGCACGGGAGCCTCCAAGCCATTCCCTTGCAGGATCTCCACGCAAGCCGCGATGACGCACGGTATCTCCAGGATCCGTGCGGCGCGCAGCACCTCGCAGAGACTGCCCGTGCTGATGGTCAGGGTGGCGGTGTAGGCGAAGTCCAGCAGGGCCCCCAAGGCTTCCGCCCCCACGAAATCCAGCTCGCACACGGCCATGCAGGGGCCGGCGAAAAGCCTTTGGAAGTAGCGGCTGCAGGCAGCCAATACTGCCCGGTGACTCTGATACTCGGAGCCCTGGGCTCGGAGGGTGACATCGCACAGCATCCCTCGGCGACGTTGCTCGTTCAGGCGACCCAGTAATTCGCTGCTGTGTTCCGGGAAAGGTATGCCGATGAGGTCATCTTCAGGGCTACCCATTGCCTCACCTGTACGGGGGGAAAAAGAGTCAGCGGTATCAGTGGGGCAGTTCAGTGGAGAAGACGCTGGATTAGGAATAACCGAATAACAGAGTTGGAGGTTCTGCTGGTCTCCTGACAGTGAGGACAATTAATCAGTGGAACAACTTGCCACCAGAAGTTATGGATGCTCCATCACTGGAAGTTTTTAAGAAAAGATTGGACAATCATTTGTCTGAAATGGGATAAGATTTCCTGCCTAAGCGGGGGATTAGATTAGAAGGCCTCCAAGATCCCTTCCAACTCTGTTATTCTACTATCCTTCCTTCCTTCCTTCCTTCCTTCCTTCCTTCCTTCCTTCCTTCCTTCCTTCCTTCCTTCCTTCCTTCCTTCCTTCGTCTGAAATGTCACAGGGTTTCCTGCCTGAGCAGGAGGTTAGACTAGAAGACCTCTAAGGTCCCTTCGAAATGTGTTATTCTCTTACTCTACTATCCTCCCTCCCTTCCTCCATCAACTGGTGGTTTCCCAGAAGAGATTGGACAAGACCCGAATAACAAGAGTCGGAAGGGACCTTGGAGGTCTTCTAGTCAACCCCCCTTGCTCGGACAGGAAAGCCTGTGACATTTCTTAGCTCAGCGACAAGATATTTGGGCTCTAGTGTGGTTGTTAAGACGAGAACTACCCCGGACATGCAAGATTTTGTGGATTTGTAACTTTGCTAAATAAAATGGATTTTCGCTTCTCCGGCCGTGTTTTCTGTCTGTCTGTCTGGGGCTGACAGCGAACGAGGACCGGATCCTGGCCTTGCCAACGAAGAAGAGGTAGGTTAGCAAAGGAGGGCGAAGGAGGATGTGTGTACTGACGGAGTCTGCACCTCCGCTCAGGAGGAAGAGGTTTCGCCGGAGGTTACGCGGCGGAGATCAAGGTGCTTGATAACTACTCAATCGAGCAGATTTCCTAGGAAAGATAACTCAGGTGCCGCATGGCAGGCGCTGCGCCTTGGGTGTCTCTGGGGGAGGCAGTCGGCTTTGAACCTTCGCTGGGCGAAGGGGGCAGAGACGTAGGAGGCGGCCCTGGTTGACGCACTAAGATGTAGTTCCCTCTCTTCCCCTCGAATGGGCTGGGGAAGATGGGAGAGAGAGAGTTCTCTGGGCTTCGACAGGATGACCTTTGCCCAGTTGTTTCAGGATCTGACCTGCCTGGACTGAGCACCGAGAGTAGAGGTGGGATGGTGTCATTAAGGAGGAGGAGCTAAGACAGGGTTACTCAGCCTTGGCAACTTTAAGATGGGTGGGCTTCTACTCCCAGAATCCCCCAGCCAGCATGCTTTAAGAGGGGTGGACTTCAACTCCCAGAATCCCCCAGCCAGCATGCTTTAAGAGGGGGGGATTTCAACTCCCATTCAACTCACAGCTGACCATGAAAATCCTATTAAAATACCAAACCATTAAATGTACGTCCTATCTGAGTTAGCATTGGTTCATTGAGAGGAGGCCAAGACGCAACCGGATCTCCCCCCTCAACAGATCCTGAAAAGGTGAAACCTGTGTTGAGATCCACTTTTTTCCCCTCCCTCCTTCCTTCCTTCCTTCCTTCCTTCCTTCCTTCCTTCCTTCCTTCCTTCCTTCCGAACGCCCAGAACCCAAAGCTGTAAAGCCGGCATTTCGCCCGCCTCCAATTTCCAATCATTCCAAATCCTAAAATATATTACCTTACAAAATATAAATCAAATAGAAAGGGCTGGCAGAGAGGGACAGAAAAACAACAACAACACCACTGCCATTTATGAAACCTGCAGCCCGACTCGGCGACCCCTCTCGCCCTTTGCCCATGCTCAGAGGCACTCTTAGCGCTGCAGCAAACCCATCCGAGAGGACGGCCCGGTTCGGCAAAAGATAGGAGTCCCCCAGCTTCGCTGGCTCACCTGCCTTCTCTCGCCACCCTTTGCCCAGATTGTTCAGGTGCCCTGGGCGAGGATGCGGAGAGGAGAGAGAGGTGGGGCCGAGTTATGGGGGGCAGAGGAGCAGGAAGGAGGAGAAACTGAGGCATGCCCCTTCTCGCCCGGGGGGGGGGGGGGGGGAAAGAGCCAGCTAGGTCTGGGCGGTGGCCACTCCCTGGCATTTGGGTGCCCGCCAGGAGGGCTGTTTGCCTTTGCCAGGACAGAGGGAAAAAGGGGTGGGTGGGTGGGTAGGTAGGGGCAGGAACGGGCTTCGGTGGGGGCCGCCCTCCGTTCTCTGCCAAGCAGGCTCGACCGGCTGAGCAAGGGGTGGGCAGGCTAGGTGCCGGGCGTGGTGGGGAAGCTAGGGCATTCTGACCCAAGGTTTAGGTGCGGCACCCAACAGAGTTGACACCCCCAGCTATGCCAGCTCAGCCTGGCAGGCCTCGCCGGGCACGGAACCAAAAGGGGAAACTTTTATCCAAGTCCTCTCAGACTTTGAGACTAGCCTCTCGGCAGCCCGTGAGCTGAGTGTCCCACTCTTTTCCCACCGTTGGCCCCCGCCCTGGCAGCCCTCGGGCGTTGCGTGCCCGTCCTTGGCTTTCCCCCCACCCCCCTGAGTTTAATCCTGTGTGAGATTGTGGGCTTTTTTTTCTTTTTTCCACACAAGGCGTATCGTTCGGAAACCCGACGCGCAAGCTGGCACAAACCCGCGCTGGCTCAGCCCAGTTTTGCAAACTTGACAAGAAAAGAAACGTGCCGGAGATTAAACCACGATTGCTAAGGGGTGGGATTCTCACCCCACCCTACCCTTTGCCCATGTGTGTGTGTGTGTCTCTGGCGCCCAAAAGGCCAGCTTACTCCGGTGAAATGGCGGCCTGGCTTGGGTTAGGTTTGACTCCGCGGCTCTGCGGCCTTTGGAATCCCGGCCTTGAGTTCTGCAAAGGAAAAGGGCCTATAAATCCCAGGGCCTCCAGGAAATTTGAGGTTTTTTCCTGTGTTTTTTTGTGACCGGAAAGTTTGGCTAGGACAGCGGTCTGCAACCTTAAACACTCAAAGAGCCATTTGGATCCGTTTCACCACAGAAAAGAAAACACCGGGAGTCACAAAAACCCTTCCCGGGCCTAACTATTTCTCGAGCGGCCACAAAACTAGCATATGTAGTCGAATTAAACGTTCTTTTTTCTTCTGAAACTTTTCTTTTCTTGGATTTATCCATGGTTGGCCTAACCGGGGGGGTTGAAAAGCTCAATAAACCGCGCGTCGGTGAGTGTCGCACATTGGCGGTTGTGATACGTATTTTGAGCGACAGGGAGCCGCAGCAGAGGGGTGAAAGAGCCACATGTGGCTCCAGAGCTGCAGGTTGCCGACTCCTGAGCTCGGAGGAACTAAATCCTGACCCCGTTTTCGCCCAGCAAGAAAGAATAAAAGAATGAAGTCGGGAGGCATCTCCAAACACGTTTTGGGGTGTCCGAGAGAAACCATCTCCAAAATTAAAATTGGTTCCATTTTGTTTTCAAAAAAAGGAGACATTTTCCTGCTGAATATCTGCCTGGTTGGCATAAACGCATCGGATCCCAAGCCTTAACTTTGCAGTAAATCCAGATCTGGCTTGAATTGTTTTCCTGAATTGCCCTGGGACTAGCCAGAAGTTTCCTGATATTAAACCAGCATTGGTTGATGGACACGTCGCGTTAAAGAACAGATAGTCCTTAACTTACAATAACCTGTTTAGTGACCGTTCGGGGAAAAAAGTGAACGCTTTTCACATTTTACGACCGTCGCAGCATCCCCGGGGGGGTCGTGTGATCCAAACTCAGATGCTTGGCAACGACTTGTATTTACGACGGTGGGGGTCATGTTGATCCCCTTTTGCGACCGTCTGACAAGCGAGAGTCAACAGGGAAGTCGGATTCGCTGAACGACCGTGGGACTCGCTTAACAACTGCAGCAAAATCCGCTTAACCACTACGGCGGGAGAAAAATGGGGCAAAACTCACTGAACGAATGTTTCGCTTCGCGACAGAAACGGCGGGCTCAGTTTTGGTCGTGAGTCGAGGACTACCTGTAATTAAAAAAAAATAAAATAAAATAAAAAAGCTCATTTCAGGTTTTGGCTTGAGCCTCCCTCGCAAGGCTGTTGGTAAGGCTGAGTGCTCAGGGTGGGAGGGGCACAGGTCGTCCTCGACTTACAGCCATTTCTTTAGTGACCAGCCAAAGTTACAACCGCCATGAAAAAAAAGGTGATTTATAACCGTTCCTCGCACTTACAACCCTCTCATGGAATCCTCCTGGTCACGTGATCAGAAATCGTACGCTGGGAAACTGGCATGTACTCATGACGGTTGCAACATCCTGGGGTCACGTGGTCCCCTTTTGCGACCTTCGCAGCTGGCTGCCGACCAGGAAATTCAACAGGGAAAGCTGGATTTGTTTAATGACTGCCGTGATTTGCTTAACAGCCAGGTTGTAAAATAGGCTGCGGCTTCCCGAACAACTGCCTTATTTGACGTTCACATAGAATCCCCGAGTTTGGAAGGGACCTTGGAGGTCATCTAGTCCCTGTCGGTTTGCAAGAAACTGGCTGAACGACAGAAATTCTGTTGCCAATTGTTGGCTGTAAATCGAGGACGACTTACATGGGAACAAAATAAAACCAGGAAATCCAGAATGTCAAGTTAGCTACTGGAGTTCCCAATGAATATATGTCAATTTTTTATTTTTTTTTACAACCTCGGGAGCTGGGGGAAACCACGATAGTGAATTTAAAGAAAAACAAGGAGGAGACACTAAACTTGGTTTGTATTTATCTTGGTTAGTCCGGGGTGGGAGCATGCCAACATGCATTTTGTGTTTTGGCATGCCGTCTCTTGAGAAACCTAAAATGATGGGGGGGGGTTTCCCCCCCACTTTTTCCTGCGTTTTTCTCGCTTGCAATTTGGCCGAAATAAAAATGTAGGAAAAGGAAACCTACATCGCATCCAAGTTTATTTCCATTCCTCCACCCGTCTCAAAATCCCTCTTGATTCACACGGCAGGAAAAAAAAAAAATCTGGTAACCAAAGAGTTTGAAAAGGGGAAGAATTTCCCATGAAGGGTGAAATATTTTACGGCTAAAAAAAAAAAACCCCGCAAACAAACCAGCATCGCTCTAAATGTCATTTTTGGGTAGCTGAACCCCAAACTGGGTTAGTTAAATCCCCGGGCTAACCACCTTGAAGCAAACAGCCAAGGAATCTTAAATTGAACGAGGGTAGCAAAAACAGGAAATTTCGACAAGGCATCTCTAAGCGATTTCCAAATTAGATTTATTTCCCTCCCACACTCATCCTTTCAATGTGGCTTCGAGCATCTTTTCCTGTTTTCTGCAAAAGATTTCGAGATGGCAACAAACCGGCTGTAAAATGGGACATCAAAAATGGTGGGTGTGCCAGCCCGGGGGGGGGGGGGGGGGGCATCTCACGCCCTGATTGAAGACACCAATATTGCCAGCATCGAACCCAGAACTGCAGGGAAGCGACCGATGAAGAAGCGACCCTGAAAATGGGCGGCCTCCTCGATGGGAACTAGCGGCATGCCTCGCCGATGACTGGTTAAATCTAAGAAACACGGCGTCAACGAAGCGGGGCTCGTTCGCAACCGAGAGCGGCGTGTCCCGGGGGGAAGAGGCAATGCCTTGATTCTCCAGAGCATGTACAGATGGCTTTTTTTCTTTCCCCGCTTCCTAAAATTCAGCCGTGAGAAGCCACAGAGGTTGCGACGGAGAATTAGAAATTTAAAAGGGAGGGGGGGGGGGGGGGTGGAAAAATGGATGTGGGGATGGGAGGTGGGGGATTTTTTTCTTCCACCCCCAGGGAGATGCTGTGACATGATAAAGGCCTCCAACGCCACCGAAGAAGGGAGCCGAGAAAACTGTACACGAGACGTTTACGGGAAATACATAAATACACCGGGACTTTCTACGCTCTGATTTGTCACCCAAAGTCGCACCGCTGAAAAATCCCTGCTTTCCCTCCATTGAGGGTCTCTTTCGAGTCCCTTGGAACCACATCATGGTTTGGGGAACCCCTGAAAAAAACACCTCCTAATCCAAACCTTTGCAGTAGCCTGTTTTCCAAATTGGGGAGAGGGGGGGCGCATTAGAAGAGGGGGTCTGGAGGTCTCTATCGGCCATGTTCCACAACACATCAGAAGCCCGACAGGTTTTCCCCCCCCCTTCCTAAAAGATTTAAGAAGCAAGAAAACCTGGTTTATAAGGAGCCATAAAGCAAATTTGTGGGTGGGTGGGAAGTCAGGAGATAATTTGGGAGAGAAGAGGGATTTTGGGGGGACCCCTTAGCCAGAGAAACATCCCAAAGGCAAATTTTGTAACTTTCGCGCAGATCGGTTGAGCTGCAGGCTGTGGAGCTTGTTCCCCAAGTTTCTAGTCCTCAAGAGACCTCCGGACCCTTATAACCCAGGCACGTGTGTTTTTGCTAACTTGGGCCGGGCCTTTTGGGGTGTCTCTGTGAAGGCAGGAAAAGGCGAACCTTTTGTTCCAGCACAAATTTGGCACGGAGGAGGATTGCCGAGAAGAGCCCGCCAAGTTAATTAAGGGTGGGGGGGGGGGGAGAGAAAAATTCCTGGGAAATTGAATTGAGCCGCCAGCAGAGTTTGCCTCGTCACCAAACCTCGGGCGTGAATCTTCAGATTCGGTTTCTACTTCGAAACCCCTAAAAAGGAACTTGCGGGGGCCTACCTCGCAGGGAAGTGGGTTCAATGCACACTCAGAATCATGGATTGCAACAAAGATTTTGCAAAGCCGAATCCACAAAAAAAACCTGGTTAGGGAAAGACCATTTTTCCCTTCTTTGGATCTCAACCTAAACCATTCGAATTTTGTATTTTTGAGCCAACTTTTGCAAACCACGCGGATGAACTTTGCGATGGGGGCGAAGGCAGGAACTCACAACTCGGATGTTTTGCTGTGCAAGCACAATGCAATCCATGCCTCTCAGGAAGCGCGATGCGTTCTCACTCGGTTTTTTTGTGTGTCCGTTTCGGCGTGACATGCTGCCGGATCTCATGAAGGACAGTCGGTTTTTTTTTTTTTTTACCTTGTCCACCCTAATCTAATCTAAGCAACCTTTCAGTTTAAGAGATCTAGAAATTGGTTTTCTAGGTCTGGAAGTTGTAAACGAAACACCGAAACGTTCTTATAATTTTTGGGAATTGGACGAGATCTATTTTGCCTCTTTTATCAATGCGCTTTTCAAGGGAAAGTACCGTCAGATGGAAAGATTTAGATGGTGCGTTAATCAGTGTTTTTAATGATACAGCAATTTGTTGACGAGAGGCAGTTTGATGGAGCGAGAAGCTAGAAACCAAAAGACCTGAGTTCTAGTCCCACCTTAGACACAAAACCAGCTGGGAGACCTTGGGCCAGCCCCTTTCCCTCAGCCCTAAGAAGGAAGCAATGGCAAACCGCTTTTGAAAAAAACGGCCCAAAGACTGGTCCAAGCCATCTCTGAGAAACAGACAGGGTCAAACACAAGAAAAGTAAAATTGTTGACCTAGCCAGAGTTGTTAAATTCACAGCCTTAAGCCACGGCTTATGGACAGCGATGATAGTTTTCCTAAAAATTCACCCAACAGTATCACAAATCCAAAGCAGGATTCAAAGTTACTAATCTCCAGGAAATGAAAGTCAGGTATTCGGGATCAAAGATTAGTCAATTTCACCTTGCAAATGCGTTAATTTCACCGTGCAAATATATCAATTTTACCTTGCAAATGAGTCAATTTCACCTTGAAATTGTGTCAATTTCAAATTAGAGGGTTTTTTTTTTTTTTACAAAAACAAACATTTTTTTTAAATGTTTTAAAAAAAAATCGGCACCTTCTAAACTGAATTAATATTTCTCCTGCCCTCCTGTCAATTCCGATAGTCCTTTGAATCTAAAAGGGGCATTCAGGAAAGGAGATGGAATGGGTTCAAAGGTTTTGCTCCTCCCTCAAATCCCTAAAGTTGGATGCCCAACGAAAACAGGGGCCGTCTTGCTGAGAACGCTACCCATCTGGCATCAAAATGGGGCACAGGGCGCAGAGAGAGATGGTATCACCGGGGCATTAGCATGCCAAACTGGAACGGGGTGTGCATTTTTTTTCACCGCCCATAAATCCCTCTGTTGCAAGGCCCCCAGGGAAAAGGGGGGCACCATGTGCCAGGCAAGTTGTGGGTGGGAAAATCACATGCCCGGACAAGTTTAGGAACACATGCAAGTTTTTCCTTGGGGCAAGAAGGACCCTAAGTCTGGGAAAGGAAAAAAGAAAAATAAAATTTTGGGGGGGGGGGGGTGGAGAGACAAAAGTCTGGTGGAAATTGCACAGCCTATTCCGTCTGCGATTTCGCTAGTTTGGTGAGGGAGAGAAATCTTGCAGAATTAATTCCCAAAGTAATTGAAAAGATGCTGGGTGGGACGATGCCAACCTCTGGGAACAGAAAACCCGTGGTGCTTTTTTTTTTTTTTTTTTTTTTGAGTCATGCAGCCACACCGCATGTGGCTAGTCCTCAGCGTCTTAGGACAGCCAAGAATGCTTTTCCCACCCAAAGCTTTTCGGATCCGGGCAGGATTTTGACGGCACTTAAGAGCACAGCTCACAAGTCTTTTTAGCCTCCAAATGATACCGAAGGTGCGGTTTTTGCGATTGATCTTTTCGCCTTGACCATCTGTTTCTGGGTGAAAGACCCTGTTCTCGTGTCCATTTTGGGAGGCGAAATTTCAGTGGCTGCTGAGGTTTAATCCAGCTGAGATTAAGGGTGGGGAGAAATTGGGGCGTTTGGACACTGGAGGAAAACAACCACGGGCAGGTCAGGCACCCACACATTAGCCTGGCGAGTTTCCTCTCTGCCAACCGAGTCAAGCTTGCTTTTTCAACCATCCTGCGTGGGCTTTAATGTTTCAGCCAAGAGATGTTTCACCCCTCCAAATACACTTTTTAAATAATGGGGTGCTTATTTATCCAACTGGAAGTAGGATCCACTAGGCAGTCTGAGCTGAACTCTTTCACTCATCCCTGTTTCAGTGAGACCCTCCATCTCCAAAGCCCATCTAGTCAGGACCCAGTGGGATATTTAAACATCAATATTTGGAAGAAAGAAAGAAAGAGAGAGAGAAAGAAAGAAAGAAAGAAAGAAAGAAAGAAAGAAAGAAAGAAAAAAGGAAGGAAAAAAGGAAGGAAGGAAAAAAGAAAAAAGAAGGGAAGAGAAGGAAGAAAAGAAAAAGGAAGGAAGGAAAGAAAGAAAGAAGGAAGGAAGGAAAGAAAAAAGGAAGGAAGGAAGGAAAGAAAAGAAAGAAAGAAGGAAAGAGAAAGAAGGAAGGAAAAGGAAGGAAAAAAGGAAGGAAGGAAAAAAGAAAAAAGAAGGGAAGAAGGAAAGAGAAAGAAGGAAGGAAGGAAGCAAGGAAGGAAGGAAGCAAGGAAGAAAGAAGTGACTTGGGATCATTTTTCATGTTTTCATTTGCAAGCATCCCCATGGTCACAAAATCCAGACCCTTGACTCATATTTATGACCGTTGCAGCATCCCGGGCTCACGCGATTCCCTTTTGCGACCTTCCTGATTCGCTTAACAACGGTGTTGCTAACTTAACGACTTCAGGGATTCCCTTAGCAACGGTGGCAAAAAGAAAAATCGTAACAGCAGGCCAAAACTCACTGAAGAGCCGTCTCACTTAGCAACGGAAATTTGGGCTCAGTTGTGGTCATAATACAGGCCCTCCTCCTACGGCTTTTAATGCTTGCAGTGCGGAGGACGAGCGAGGCCTCTCCCACTGATTGCATAGGCAGCAATTGAAGGATTACAACGCCCAGCAGCCCCAGCCGGGCAGCTTTCTAATACTATCATCCTCGGTTTACAAAACCCCGGGCAGAGATTTGCTAAACAGCCTCTCTCGAGGTCGCTTTGAAGCACCTGGAAAAACACGTTTGCATATTTAAACATTGAGATGCGGAGGGAGGGACGTGGACCTCGGATAAACCAGGTTTAATTTTTTTTTGAAAACCCCAAATTTACACCTTCACGTCAGCTTAGAGTGATGAAGTTTCTAAGGCCGAGTTTGTCAACCATGGGTCTTTTAAGAAGGGTGGACTTCGACGTCCCAGAATTCCTTAGCCAGAATTATGGCTGGCTGGGGAATTCTGGGAGTCGAAGTCCACCCCTGTTAAACGGTTGACAAACATGGTTTGATCCCTTCTGTTTACGATTCCTACCGTCTCCAAAATGGCTTTCACCGTCACCCAGAAGCGTAAAACGAAGTTTGGCTTTGCCGATTGGATTACATTGTCCCTTCGACATATTGCTCGCTAGCGCTGCATTGTAGCTCCCTCCTGGTTTCATTCAGACAACCCTCTTAACCTGGTTAGTTAAAGCTATCCATTTCTACCGTTTCCCCCCA